AATTGTAAATTTAAGGAAATGCATTGATTTGACTAAATTTCAGCTAAGTGAAGTCTTAATATCACCTAAAATAGGGATGCACAATATTATCGGCATGGTATCAGCTAATATTAGCGATAAAGTTAAATTTCAGACATTGGCCATTCCATTAAAATAACTCACCAATATAAAATGGCACAGTTTATATATATATATTTAAATTAACTTGCCTAACTAACCCACTTACCATCCAGTAGTTTAACAAAAATCTTGTTTACGTCATTTTAGTTGCATTTTACTTTAAGTTTTGCTTTTAATTTTACTTACAAATAATTATTCATTTTGTCCTAATATTTTGTTATTAAAATATATACTTATAATGTGATTTAAACATAAAAAGCACTGATGTGGATTAAGTTGCCTCATGTAAAGGAAGTTATCGTTTGCGCTGTCTTGACTAATTTCAACTTTAATATTATTATAAAATTTAAAAAAAAACTTTTAGTGAAAACATGAAGTGAACACTGAATGACAGCTAGTTTGTTAAAGAAGCTGAAAAGTAAAAAAAAAAGAGCAGAACAGAAGTCCAAGTTATAAAAACTAAAACTGGAAAAACACTATAGCTAAAATAGCTAAAACCTAATAACAGTTCCTAAAAACTAAAATAAGACAAACATTAGCTGAAAGCTAAAAATAGCAGTTCAGTAGCTAAATAGTGCTATATAAATAAACTGATGACCAAAACACTAGCTAGAAGCTAAAGCCAGCAAAACAGTAGCTAAAATCTAGAATGAATGGCTCCTATAAACTAAAATAAGTCAAACATTAGCTGAAAGCTAAAAATAGCAATTCAGTAGCTAGGTGTTATAATTACCAAAACACTAGCTGGAAGCTAAAGTCAGCAAAATGGTAGCTAAAAGCCAAACTAAGTTATGGTTAGACAGTTCAAGCCTGACAGGAAAAACATGAACTTCACATGTGGAAAGCACATGTATTTACATGTAAAAATTAAATTAGCAGTCCTTAAAGGTGTGCTTGTTGCCTATCGGTGCCAGAGGTTTAGACTAAAATCATCTTGTGTTGAGAAACGACGGAGTCGTGGCTGTTTTGGTCAACTGGAAAATCCAGTTATGCATGAACTCAAGTCAGAGTAGTTCTTGTTTTTTTTAATTCAATACCTGTAAAATTGACAGTTATAGCCATTTTTGTGCTTGCTAAGGTTGATCAGCCGTGACAGCCATCTTGAGTTGGGATTACCCTAAAAAGTTATCCGATGTAGAGGTACTGTTTTATGAAAAATCTGTTTAGCAGTTTAAAAGATTTGTTGCGAATGGACACACTCATAAAGCAATTACATGACCATCTGCCTTTCATAGATGTGGGTAATTTAAAAAAAAATCTCTTTACCACCTTATTCAGAATGTAATTTATTCAAATATGAATATGTATACATTTTATATAATTAACAATTTGCAATATAATAGCCTGGTAACTTCTGAAAAGATGCCCATGTATTAAACTGTTAACATATTGACAAAACAAAAATGTTCCAGTGTTTGATATTCAATTTAAACAAAATAAAACTTGAAAAAAATCATAAAAAAATAAAAAATAAAACAGGGATCCAAACTCACAGCCCTGGGGAACTTCAGGTTAGCTGCCTAATGGAATTATTCACATCTACAGTTTCCAGCGAGGGAAAGCAAATGTGGTGACACATAGTGTTAATCTTGGCAGCCAGGATTAATGTTTGGCCAAATCACTTCTTAGTTGGCAAGTTGTGAAATTGGATCCACCATCTTGTAAACGTCACAATGTAAACTCATTTTAACAATAAAGACAGTTTTAACAACACAATGCTTATTGCTTTGAAAAATATGACAAAATAAATTATAAATGGAATCAATCGTACGTAGTTTCCCTACATTACATCCCAAAATACATCAAATTCCAAAAAGAAACAAAATGTCAAACTTTAAAAGCTTTAAAAAATATCACTGAGTAAACTCAAACACTCATGCAGACACAAACAACCTGACTAAATCATACACATCAACGGTCAAGACTTGCTGTATTTTTAAAAGGAAATAAGTGTTTGCGGTAAAACAGACTGTGCGCTACATGAAATTCAGTGCTTGCCAAGTATTGCAACATTTCCCCAGGTCTTTGGTTGATATGGAGTATACAGTGATGACGACGGTGACCTAGACAGGCACTTAAAACGACTTGGATATTGTAATATTCTTCCACAAATGATAACATTTGTTCAAGATACAGACGTAGCTAAGAGATTACCGAGTGTTGCAAAGCTAGTTATTATTACTACGTTAAATATACTGCTAAATAAGTTCATAAAACCTTTATATAGTTTGACGGAGATACAGCAAACTATTATAAATACAGTTTTACCGTTGCAACGAGCCGTTTGTTCACAGAGCGAACTCCAAAGTTTCTGACTAACCTGCAAAAAATAAATAAAACGCATAAAACGATTAAATTTGTTTTTAAGACTTTAGTGATAAACTCATGCTGATTTGTTCAGAATTTCCAAAGGGCAACATAAAATCACTAAATGCTTCTAAAAAGGTACAAAAGTAACTTTCTAACCCCAATTTAAAATAAATTACCGTATTTTCAGACTATAAGGCGAACTTAAAATCCTTTAATTTTCTCAAAAATTAACAGTGAGCCTTATAATCAAGGGCGCCTTATGTATTAATTCTAGTTGTGCTTATTGACCTCAAACCTATTTTATGTGGTTATTGTGAATGAGTTGAATAAAGTTTGACTTATCCGTTTTGTTTCGCTTAATGCGCCTTATAGTCTGAAAAATACCGTACTATATTCACAACGGTACTGAGCAAACATTAAATACTGTAACTAAGAAACTGTACTAAATTTTGGAAAACTAAAGTAATTTTGAATTTGTTGGCAGCAGCACATCTCAAAACCGTTAAGGCGGAGAGCCTGAAAAGGCCGTACAAGTAAAAGTTTTAAATAAGAATCAGTTGGAGGAGCATTTTGCAACTAATTAGGTCAACTAGCAACAGTTTAGTAAGAAGAGTGGTTATAAAAGAGCATTTTAGAGAAGTTGAATCTCTTAGAAGTAAAGAAGGGCAGAGGTTCACTAGTCTGCAAAATCGGTTTTAAAAGGTGCAGCGTCTTTAAAGAGTAATGTTCCTCAATAGAAATTTGGGACGACTTTAAATATCCGATCATGTACCGTTTATAATTTGATTTAAAAAAAACCTTCAAGAATCTGGAGGGATCTCCGAGCTCAAAGGACGAGACGGAAAGTAATATCGGACGGCGCCGCCGAATTAAAACGGGTCCGATTCTGTTCGTAGGCTCACAAGTTATTGTCCGTAAACACAGTTCACCGTGTCGTCCACAAATGCTGGCTAAAGCTCTATCGTGCAAAGAATAAGCCGTATGTGATCACCGTCCAGAAACGCTGCGGGGTCAAAGATCATTTAAAATGAACGAAAGCAACATATTAATACTGTTCTGTCAGATGAACCAAAACCTGCAAATCTTATTGGAAACCATAGACACCACATCCTTCACACTAAAGAGCTGGAACAGATGAGCTGTTCTCAGCATGGAGTCCAAAAGTCAGCCTTTCTGATGGTATAGGGGTGCATTACTGCTTAAGGCAGCTTACATGTATATATATACATCTTCAGTGCAGAAAAGTACAGATTTTAGAGCAAATGCTCCAAACCAGACGATGCATTTTCCAGGGAAGGTTTTCTAATTTCTTATTTAAAAAAAATAATAATTGTGTTTACTATAAACTGGTCTGTGACCAGAATCCGACTGTTTCCAGCTTTACTCGCTAGCCTCAAGACTAACCTGTTCAATGTTCGAAAAATTTATTTTTAATCATTTTTATCCATCAGTGAGCTTTACAAAAATTAAAAAATTAGAATTGACCCATAAAACTACGACTAGAAAAATTTATTTTTAGGGGATTTAACTGGGAGAGAAAAAAAAAAATCAAAACATTTAAAAAATTCACTCTATAAACTCAAAATTAATTTAACTTAATAAGAAATAATGTCGTCTTTTTATGCTTAGAAACAACTTCAGTATTATGTAAAAAGTTCAACTTGACAGACTAACTCCAAAATGTATCTGTAGATGTAATTTATCCATTTCCTACAAATACTTGTAAGAACGTCGTTTTATCTCTGAACAAACAGCATGTTGCAACAAGTACCGTATTTTTCGGACTATAAGGCGCACTTAAGATCCTTTAATTTGCTTAAAAATCAACAGTAAGCCTTAAAATCTGGTGCGCCTTATGTATTCATTCTGGTTGTGCTTACTGACCTCGAACCGATTTTCTGTGGTTGTGAACGAGTTGAATAAAATTTGACTGATCCGTTTTGTTTCGTGCGCCTTATAGTCCGAAAAATACGGTAGACTAATCTGCAAGTTTTCTTATAACTGATAACCAATATGATTCAGAAAGTCTGACACATTTAACAAAGGCAGCAGGAGCACTAAAATCATAAATTACATCATTTGAAACAAGTTAAAATGAAAGAAACTACATTTTTGTGCTGTAAGTGCTGCAGTTGATCCAACAGATATTGTGGCTACATTTATGTGCCGCCTTTTGCTGAGCCTGATGCAAAAAATATCTTTTATATATTTAACAGCGGGGAGGCTTAAATTTATAATGAACATCCCATTTTGATCAAGTGGAGTGTTAAATTCAGATTCTACAGCAGGAAGAACGATGAACTGTACCACCCGGACGTTACTGCACGAGCTCGCTATGCTAATAATTACCGTTTTCTGTGTCCACACCTTAAACAAAAACAGCCGTTTAGAGATAAACCTTCATGGAGGAAAACAAGAAAACATTCACGGATCATTAAATAATAACCACACACCATCAAAAAGACAAATAGAACAATCTAACTGTGATAAATAAGTAATTTTTTACAAAATCAAACAAAAAGGCACCAACTTCGTACAATAAAAAGCAAACCTTTCTTCGTCCTGTAGATGATTAATAGCAGTAATAAGAAGGAACCTGAGGGGGGTATGATCACCGCTTCCAGGTGGACTTCCATCCTAACGAGGTCATTAAGTGGGTTCTATCAGCGCAGCCGTCACAGTGACTAAGTTTTCGTCTGCTTTTGTCCAGGTTACGATCAAACTAAAACTTGAGCATCCGCAGACAAACCGAAGCTACAGCCGAGCTCTCGGCACCGGAGGAGGACGGTGAATGGATTCCTACGTGTGTCTGTGTGTGTTTAATTATAGCAGCGTCTCCCGTCTGTGCACAATGTTTCGCCTTACGAGGCTACACGTGGCTGCGGAGGTGCGGGCCGGCCTGGAGAGGCTGTCTGCTCCGAAACGGGATGAACCACAGAAGTTTCCAGCGAGTGCCGCACACTTCGGCCAGAGCCCACTGCCACGACCTTTTCGCTCCGTATCTGACGAGAAAAGATCCGGAGAGCAGGTAAGCAAGGACGACGTACTGGGGAAGACTTGGGAAAACATTTTGGGAAACAACAACAAAAAAAAATGTAATTAAAACAAATTGACGCTTTGGAAGGTCTCACGGAGTAAAAATAAATAAATCAGCTGTGCAGTTATTTTTGTTTGTACTTTTATTTTTTATATTTTGTATTTTTTGGTGCCGTCAATAAACACATCCGTTCCTGACTAAGCCTAAAAATTATTATTTTCTTTGCAAGAATTGTTTTGAATTCTCCTGAACTTTACTACCCTCTGGTGTTCCTTAGGGGAAAACCGACCACATAGAAATCCCATTATAAATGCATTTTATTGATCCCATATGACAGTGGCTCTCAAACTGGAGTCCCCGGACCCCCGGGGGTCCATGAGCTGGTGCTTGGAAGTCCACTAAATAAGTAAATAAATAAATAAAAAATTACATTTAAAAAAATGTATACATATAAATTATTTTTTTTTACAAGCTGGTGGATGTTTAACAACCCGTTAAAATGCACCAAAATGCAGGAAATCACATCTACTTCATTAAAATTTTTCTGGGGGAGGACCCCCATACCACCCCGACTACTTACGTTCCAGCATCAATCAGTTTACAAATTAAGCCCTGTTACTTGGTACGACTGCTGCCGTTATGATTCTGCTCAGTTTTCTGTAATAATTTGAAGAAGTGTTGATACATTTATGTTCATTATGTGAATAGGTAAAGTTTTTTTTAAAGTGATTTTTGATTCTGTTAAGTTTCTCTAAACTGTAATTTTGGGAAGTTGTAATTAAAAGTTGTTAATTAAGTGTTGAATGAAAAATACCCCATGTTTTAAAAGAATAAAAATTGTATTAACACTATTAAACAACAGGTCTTAAGTATTTATGTTACACAAATATTTCCATTGCATTAAAGAGACAAATTGAAGGAAATTATTTAATAAACATGAGGGTTATGAGGGGGTCCCTGAAACTTTTTCTCCCCTGTAAGGGGTCCCTGAACCCAAAAGGTTTGAGAACCTCTTCTTAGAGGAAAACCAACCACATAGAAATCCACTATAAATGCATTTTATTGATCCCATGAGACCTTCCAAGGGTTAAAGTAGGATTCAGTTGCCACGTTCTGAGCAGTTAATATCTTACCTGTCGTGGATACTATTTGAACGACCTCGGGTTGGAAATACGAGGTTTGTGTAACGTTAAACTGACTGCAGTATGAAAGTTTAAAAAACAAGAGAACGTTTGAAACTAGTTATTTTAATTTGACAGCAATTCACGTTGGGTTAACGAGCCTTTAGCTCGTTAAGGCTCGTTAAACCAGCCAGAACTAAACTCTTTGTCCAAGTTCAGGTCGTTCAATAAGCTTTCTTCAACAGGTAAGATAATAACTGTTCATATTTTTTAAAAAGACCCGTTTCAACTGTTTTACTCGCCGACTTTAAAATGAGGTAAAACAAGCGTTACTTTTAGGAAATAGAAATGCGATTGTTCAGAAAGTGAAATCTTTATATTAAACTTTTTTTTAGGAAAAAAGTGCTTTTAAGAGATATGGGCAGTATTATTTAAGTATTCAAAGTTCAATAAAAACAGGCAAATTTGAATTATTACTGTGACCATCATGACTTAAATAAATAAATAAACAAAAACACCAGAACCTGGTAGTGACATGCCCGGCTGTCTTCTAATGATGCCCCAAATAATAAAAGAAAAATCACTTTGGACTATTTTACATTCCGTTTCTATCATCGTAACTTATTTTGAAAGGGTTTTAAAGTAGAAACTGGTTCGGGGTGAGATCAGAGCCTTACTGCCAGAGTGGACCCATCCCAGTCCACGGTGACCTGTTGGACCAGTGAAATGAAGAAATACAAAGACTTCCAGCTAGCAGGATGAGCCGACGAGTAAACTTTTGATTTTAAGCAAAAAGATGGCCGCGCTCAGAGCAGTAGCAGCTTCACAGGCTCCCGGTACCATCCCAGTTTTTAGAAGTTTTGATATTGACTCTGTGCCTGACTCTGCGCGATTTATGCGTGTGAACTATAGCCGAACCGAACTGATGAGAATAGGAGCGGATTTGCCACGAAATATAGCAGAAATCAGCAACAAACTCAAAGCTACGCTCTGCAGAATGCAGATCTTAAAGTCATCTACCTGGAAGCTGCAGCAGAGGCGTTCCAGCGGGCAGAAGAGGAAGCGCTGCTCCCGGCTTAAGAGGAGAGGATGCCGGGCGGGGGTTATGGTGAGGCTACGAGCTAACGCTAAAGCCGGTAAACTCCCCATGCCGTCTCTCTTTCTGTCGAATGTCCGCTCGTTGGACAACAAGGTGGATTTACTTCGTCTGAGAGCGGGCGACTCAGAAGAGATGAAGAAGTGTGCAGTGCTTTGCCTCACGGAAACGTGGATTACAAGTGAAACGCCGGACTCAGTCTTCCAGCTGGATGACAGACTTTTTTTTCGAGCGGACCGCTGCAGCGAGCTAACGGGGAAATCACGGGGGGGCGGAGTGTGCATTTACGTGAGTAAAAGTTGGTCCACGAACTGTACTGTTGTAAATAGCTCATGCTCGAAGGCTTTGGAGCAAATAACAGTGAAATGTCGGCCACATTATCTACCCCGCGAGTTCACAGTGACTTTTATCACAGTTGTTTACATTCCTCCGGACGCTAATGCTAATGAATCACTACAGGAGCTTCATGATATCATCAGCTCGCTGCAGAACAAACACCCCGAGGCTCTTTATGTGGTAGCCGGAGACTTTAACCACGTGAATCTAAAGGACTGTCTCCCAAGCTTTTATCAGCATGTGACGATTCCGACACGTGGAGACCGCACGCTGGACCGTGTTTACACGAACGTAAAAGATGCATACATAGCCGAACCCCGCCCCCACCTAGGACTGTCAGACCACATCTCAATCTTCCTGGCTCCTGCTTACATGCCCCCGCTGAGACGCTCCAGACCGGTTCAAAAGAAAGTTAAATGTTGGATCCAGGACAGTGGCCCCATACTGAGAGATTGTTTTGATCGAACAGACTGGCAGGTTTTCAGAGAAGCTGCTGAAAATGGAGGTTCGCTTGATCTTGACCAATACACATCCTCAGTACTGGGTTACATTAGTACATGTACTGACACAGTCTCCACTATCAGAAATGTTAAAAGCTACCCAAACAGAAAACCTTGGCTGAATGCAGAGGTGCGTACCCTGCTGGAAGCCAGGAACACTGCCTTCAGGTCTGGAAACTCAGAGGAGCTGAGTAGGACAAGAAAAGAGCTGGTTGCTGGTATTAAGAGGGCCAAGGCCACATATGCAAAGAGGATCGAGGGTCAATTCATCTCACAAGACCCTCGGAGCATGTGGAGGGGCATTAAGTGCATAACAGATTATAAAGGAAGGAGCGAACAATGTCCCAAAGACCCATCTCTGCCTGATGCCCTCAACAAGTTCTATGCACGCTTTGAAGACCCGAACAGACCACCCAGCACCAGACTCACCTCGCCACCGGATGAAGAGCATCTCAGCGTGACCTCAGCAGAAGTAAGGAGTACCTTCAGGAGGATTAATCCGCACAAAGCAACTGGCCCAGACAACATCCCCGGAAAAGTGTTGAAGGAATGTGCTGATCAGCTCTGTGAGGTGCTGGCAGACATCTTTAACACCTCACTTACCCTGGAGACAGTTCCCACCTGCCTGAAGACTGCCACCATCATCCCAGTCCCAAAAAGCTCTACAGTGACTGGTCTGAATGACTATCGGCCAGTGGCCCTCACCCCGATAGTCGCTAAATGCTTCGAAAAACTGGTCATGACTCACATCAAAACAACCATCAACATCAACGAGGACCCTCATCAGTATGCATACCGTGAGAACCGATCAACAGAGGATGCAATCTCCTCTGTGGTCCACACTGCGCTCAACCACCTGGAGCAGAAAAACTCTTACGTCCGTATGCTCTTTGTGGACTTCACATCCGCCTTCAACACCATGATCCCCCAAACCCTGGTGGACAAACTATCCACACTAGGACTAAGCCCCTCCATCTGCAACTGGGTACTAGACTTTTTAACAAACAGACCACAGTTAGTGAGGATCCACAACCTCTCCTCCTCCACCATAACCCTCAGCACTGGCTCTCCTCAGGGATGTGTGTTGAGCCCCCTCCTGTTTACTCTGCTCACATATGATTGTGCAGCTACCCATCCAGGCTGTCACATTGTAAAGTTTGCAGATGATACAGCGGTGGTGGGATGCATCACAAACAATGATGAGTCCAGCTACAGGCAAGAGGTGGAACACCTGGAGAGCTGGTGCAGAGAGAATAACCTTCACATCAATGTGAAGAAGACAAAGGAGATGATTGTGGACTTCAGAAGGAACAAAAACACCTACACCCCCCTGAACATAAGAGGATCTGCGGTGGAAGTGGTCTCCAGCTACAAGTACTTGGGTGTACACATGAATGACAGCCTCAGCTGGAGCAACAACACCACCAGCCTGATCAAGAAAGCTCATCAGAGACTCTACTTCCTCAGACGGCTGAGACGAGCTGGTCTGGGAAGCTCAGTCCTCACCTCCTTCTACAGGTGTGCAGTGGAGAGCATCCTGTGCTCGAGCATCAATGTGTGGCATGGAGGCTGCACAGCTGCAGAAAGGAAAGCTTTGCAGAGAGTGGTGAAGGCTGCACAGAAATCTGTTGGAATCAGTCTCCCCACCATCACAGACATCTACACCTCCAGATGCAGGAAGAGGGCCACCTGCATCATGAAGGACCCCACCCACCCAGCACACACACTTTTTGCCCTACTCCCCTCAGGAAGGAGGTTAAGGAGCATTAAGTGTAGAACCACTAGACTGAGGAACAGCTTCTACCCTGAGGCTGTTAGACTCATGAATCTCTAACTAGAATAATCACTGTGAAAAACCATATCATGTTGCTGCTGATCTGTTTCATGTTGCTGCTGATCCGTTTTAATGTTGATGTGTTCATGCGTGCACATCTGCTCACAGACTCATGTTCATGTTTGTGCTGATGTTCAATGTTTTATGTTATGAGTGCTTAGTGTATATTTAGTTGATGTTTTTCTTAGTTCATATCTTAGATGTTATTACTGTTTTTCTTATACATTTTATTGTTGGATGTAACTGGGACCCTGTGTACATAATTTCGCTCCACCACATGTACCACATGAGGTGCGAATGACAATAAAGAAACTCTGACTCTGACTCTGACTCTGAAAAACAAGAAGCAGGCAACGACCTAAATTATAGCTTGTTAAAACGCTTTCTCTGCTTTAAGACAGTTTGTTGTTCTGACACTTGTGATAAATAATTCTAATCTGAAGAGCTTCTGGTTTAAACATCCATCCATAATATATAATCTATGTTGTGGTGTCTTCAAATAATCTCAGAATGCTAGAAACCCTAGTCGTACGTGAATTTTACTTATTTCCATTAAGACTTCTCAAAGTCTACATTGGGTTTTTACTTTCAGTTTTTTTAATTTATTTAAATTATAATCTCATATCTAAGAACAGTTTTGTTGGTAATGAATCCGTTATAATAAATTTGAATAATAAAAAAACTATCAAGCACAGCGATAAGCTGATGGGCCTATTAATGCTGAATCAATAAACGTTGATCAAAATCATCAGGTTTTATTAAATAAAATAATGAAGAATTAGAAAACGGTGAAAGACACAAACTCACGTTTCATTAGAAAACTCCGACATTTTCTCAATGGTGGTCTGATCCTGGAACAGAGACACGAACAAGTTATCATTTTGCTAAAATAAAAGCCGCCATGATGATTGTCAGGATTTCATAAAAATAATTAAAATAAAAATAGTCTGTGAGAGTAACGTTTGAACTGAACCTGAATGAAAGCTTCATGTTATCGTTTTAGAATTGGAAATTAAAAATAGCTGAAAAATGACCTGAAGAGTGAAAACAAAAGCCAAACATTACTTTTTCAAACCTACATTAATAAAACACAACAAAGAGAACTCGAAATGTTGAAACTAAAACATTTTACAGCTCGTTTTTTAATATTTGTTCTGGTTCAACTTTTTTAGCTTCTTTGTGCAAATTTAAACTGTTTTTCAGCTTCTTTCAGCTGTTTTGTGCTCCTTTCAGGATCTTTCTTCTAACTTCTTTCTGCTAATTTCAGCTTTTTATGCTCCTTTTAGCTTATTTATGCAAGTTTCATTTTTTATCCTATTTTAGCTACTATTTAGCTGTTTATATGCTAATTTTAGCGGTTTCAGCAAACTCAACATTTTTTGCGCTCATTTAAACTTTTTTCAGCCTAATTCAGCAAAAAATGTGCTCTCTCCACTTCCATTAGGCAATAAGCTTGTTTCTGCTTTTTCAGCTACATTTCAGCTGGATTTTTTTGTGTGTGCTAATTTCAGCTTTTTTCCGATCAATTCCACTTTTTTTGAGCTCATTTCTGCTTCTATCAGCCTAATTGGGCAAACATGTTCTGATTTCGTCTGCTAATTTGAACTTGTTCTACCTTTTAGCAATTTTTTTTTTAGCTAATTTCAGCTGTGTTCAGATAAATTCAAGATTTTCATGGAAATTTCTACTAATTTCAGCCAAATTAACTTCTTTCTGCTAATTTCAGATTATGTTCCTTTCAACTTATTTCTGCTAGTTTCAGCTTTTTCTTCTATTTCAACTGCTATTTAGCTGTTTTATGCTAATTTGAGCTTTTTCAGCTAATTCCACATTTTCTGAGCTCATTTTAGCTGTTTAAACTTCCTTCTGGTAGCTTCAGCTTCTTTCTGCCTTTCAGATACTTTTCAGCAATTTATTTAGCTAATTTCAGCCTTTTTTTTAGCTATTTTCCTAATTTTCTGTTAATTTCTGCTGATTTACACCTATTTCAGCAAATATGTGCTCTTTTTGCTTTCTTCTGCTAATTTATTTAGGCTTGTTCTTCCATTTTAGCTACATTTCAGCAAGTTCTTCTGCAATAAGCATTCACACTGCATTTACACATAAAATGCAGTTTCTCTAGTTTAAATTTTGTTTAGGAAACAAGTTTTGGAAAGTGACAGAAACAAAAAAAATAGTTTGTACAACGGTGTGCTTTAAGAACTTTATTGTGTCGTGTCCACAAAGCTTTAAAAACAAAGATTATGTCTGATCTGTTAGCACTCAGGATCTGTGCAGATGACTCTCAGCTACTGCCACACCAAATTTTAGCTCAATATCGATCAGACTGAATGAGCAAACACCGTTTGTTTTCTAACGCTGATTTGTTGTGGTGGCCATCTTGAATTAGGTTGTCTCCAAAAGAAAGTCAATTCTAGAAGTACATCGGAGTGTTTCATTCAAATCTGTCCACTAGTTCATGACATATTTTGCTAACACACATATTTAGACAAGTAACTTATCACCCATGCCACCATGGTATGTAGTTACTTCCAGGACTAGAAGCACAATTTCTGTCAGCTGCACAATCAAGCACACATCTTTAAGTGGACATGTTTTGGAGTCTTTTTCCATTAAAATCACATAACCAATACTGAATATTTCAGTTTTTATACACCGTAATTTCCAGACTATAAGCCACTACTTTTTTCACATGCATTGAACACTGCGGCTTTGGACAGGCTAACGAGCTTCATACCATAAACACAGTAAATTTAGTGGGCGTGGCTTATATTCAGGCGCGCTCAATATTCTGGAAATTACGGTACTCTGTAAGTTAATGTTTTGTCAAAAAACAAAGAGTGTACTTTGGCCTTTTACTTGGTCCTTCCCTGAATGAGAAACAAGTAAAATATGAGTGAAATAAAAAACTGTAACAAGTGATATTTAACAGCTCTTAAAGCTTGGAAAGCTGTGCAGTAGCAACATTTGGACGACTGAACCCCAGGACAGTAGAAGTCGTCTACTTTCTGTACTCACTGTGAGGATGCCCGTCAGCTGCGTGTGAAACAAGCCGGTCATTCCAGCGAACATGACTAGACCCATGAGCGCCGAGACCCGCAGCAGAGCCAGCTCGTGACGAGTCGTGAACTTTTCCTGGGAGGCAGAAGCAGAACCTGTTGACGGTCTGACTGGTTTTTTCCGTGGAGTTGTACGTGATGATGGAGAACGCAGACGCGTTACCTGATCTAGTCTGGTCAGCGGCTGGAAATAATAGTACTGACAGAAGTCCAGCGCCAGAGTGAATAAACTGAGGATCTGAGCGTAGAGACACAGCTGCAGGAAGAGCCAGTGGTTGTCTTCTCCCACACAGTTATTAATCCTGCAAGAAAGAGAGAGATTAGGAACAGGAATATGAGGACGTTGATAACAGGATAAACAGGTTTCTGTGCGTTTGTTAAAACTATTGAAACCCAGTGAACTTTTACACATTTTGTCACGTTACAAACTCCCGAAGTGTTTCACTGGAATGTTATGCAACGGACCAACACAAAGTTGTTTTAAATCTAATCTACTAGTAAAATCTGAAAGATTACGACTACATTATTTTCCAACTATGACACCCCCACACAGCAGCAGCGGGTCCACCGACCAGCGCTCCTTGCTGTGGCGTCAAGCGATATTTGTATGTGGTCAGTTTGTAAAATGCAGGTCCAGGATTTAAAATACTTCCGAGTATTGTCCAGGAAAACAGAGTGTGGTAAAGAGCGACAAGACAAGGAAGTAGTCTGTAGATTGACACGGTGTTGTGCAGAAAACAACCACTCTTTAAAAATCAAGAAGACAAAGGATCTTGGATTTTAGGCAGGAAAAGGAGTTCCGCTCTGTGTCCGCATCGCTGAATTCTTCTGTGAAAAGGCCCAATGACAGTAGGCCTGTCACGATAACAAATTTTACTGGGCGACTAATTGTCTCGGAAATTATTGCGATACACGATAAGATTGTTTGAAATTTGACAATAATTAGTAATTATTGTCAAATTTAAGAAGAAATGTTGAATTTGTTTTGTGTGTAGTACCTTTTTTTGACCACTGGATGGCAGTATAAGACTGAACCGAAGGATGGATAGTGAGGGAGTGAGCAGCGTGTCTCTTTAAGAAAAATGGGAGGGAGGCCCCTTGACGTGACATGGACTGTCTCTCCTTCCTTTATTCGATTCTCAAAATGGTGAACACTTTGTGTGGTTTGAGCTCTTTAGCGTAGCATTTTTCAAACAAAGCTTTTAATAAAAAAATAAAAAAATCAGTAAACAAGTTCTCAGCGCCTTTTTGCAGAGAAAAAAACTTTTTACACAAAGACAGGTTTCAACCATGAATTCTGGAGCTTCAACAGATGGTTTATTCCCCCCCCCCCCCCCCCCCCAGGTCAGCCTGTTAGCTTAGCTCGTAGCTTAGCTTCTCAGCTTAGCTGCTTTTAATGATTCAAAAACGTGATTTTGGACGGTTAAAATGGATTTTAAAGAGAAAAGAGGAAGGGAGGGGTCAGTGAAGAACACTGGAATTGAGCCTTTTATCATCCAGTGTCTTCAGTAGAAAGAGAGAGATGAAGAAACGATAAAGCCGATAAATGAAAATGAGGTCGATAATTTTCATTTATCAGCGATTAATTGATTTATTGTTTATTGCGACAGGCCTAGATGAGAGTAGAAATCCTTACCACGGACAGTGGTGGTCCATCCTCCGGACACAGTGGCCACATCGACTGCAGTGGTGGGACCTTTTAGGCCTCATTAAGTTGCACTTATTGCACAACTCCCAGTGTTCTTTCTCTGTGATAAAACACAAAAACAAAGTTTCAGAAGAGCCCACAGCTCTGTAATAAAATCAATACGCTGTAGTTTATTCTGGTTTAAGTCTTTAATTTTGAGAATTATTTCTGAAAGTTTCATCAAACTTTTCCTTAGAGTTATTTTTCTGTTTCCTACCAGAGTGAGGTATGTGGGGGTCCACAGGAAGACGACCAGGATCTGCTGTGGAAGCTCTGATCAGGGCCACGATGCAGAAGGCTGAAGCTATGTAATACCCTAAGAACACACACACAGAGTGTTTAAATCAGTGGTTCCTAACCGTGATCCTTGAGGAACACCATCCTGCATGTTTCAGTTATTTCTCCGCTTCAACACGCCTGATTCAGTGATTTAATTACTTCCTCGAGTTCTGCAGGTTAATCACCAATTCATTCAAATCAGTGTCAAAGCAGGGAAACAAGTAAAACATGCAGGATGGTGTTCCTCAAGGACCAGGGTTGGGAACCACTGGTTTAAAATGAAGTATTTTGGGGATTTGCCATGAGAAGCCTGGATGAGTGAAGGTACACCAGATTGTGACAAACAGCAGTGACACTCACAGACCACCAAGGCCCAGGAGATGTGCCCTTCATTGTAGTGTGGGAGCAGAACCAGTTTGGGAACGAACAAGGTGTTGTAGAGCCAGATCCCAAAGACGACGCTGATGCAGAGCCAGCCCATCGGGTCCACCACGAAGTGGAGTCGAAGCTTCATGACTGCTTCTCCAGATGGCTCCTCGCTGTGAGACGAATCAAATCCAAACCCAAGTCTTTAATAATCTTCTAACTTTTCTGACCAAAACTATTTAAAATATACCAAGTTACTCATTTAGATAAAGATCCTAAAGTTAAAGCAACTGAGCATCTTTTCCCAATTCAAAAGGATTCTTTAGGTCCAACTAGTCTGGGCTTTTTGAAAGATGCCAGCTTCAAACTGGTTAGAGTGGTTTCACTAGTCCGACCGCCCACTATGAGCTTTGTTTGGGTCATTATCACCTGCGAGTTGATACCTACAATGTGAAAGATGTTCCAGTTGTGTGATTTGAGGTGCAAATGATTAAGAAACCACCTAGGCGGAAGAGTCCAGCGTGCCTTGTGACGTTTGAGGCCACCTTTACCATTTAACATTTATTTGTGCTTTTTTTTTCCAGGAAGCTTCTTTCAGTTCTTTTTAAGCTCTCTCAGGACTCTCTCTGGCCATTCATAAATCACAGACTAAATGTGAGCTTTCAGAAATGAAGTGGGCCAAAAGAGGCATGGAGCAGAACTCAGCTGGGTTGACGTTGAACGTGATGTGTGACAGACTCCGATTAACTCAGTTCAGCGATCCTCTGAGGTTATTTTTTTAATCCAACTATAAAGTTGCTGTGCATCATCATCTTCTCTCAGTAATAAATCTGTTATTTATTCTCACGGCCAGGCGGTTGCACACTATTATCATCAGCTCACCATATTATTGATCTGCGGCACCACAGCTTACTTTTTAACACATTTGATGTTTCGCCTCTGTTACTACTAGGACTGTTGCAATAAACAATAAATCAATTAATCGCATGATAAATGAAAATTGTCAATCTTGTTTTCATTTATCGGCTTTATCGTTTCTTTGCGTCTCTCTCTTTCTACTGAAGACACTGGATGACAAAAGGCTCAACTCCGGTGCTCTTCACTGACCCCTCTCTTTCTCTTTAAAATCCGTTTTAACTAGGGATGCACGATATTATCGGCATGGTATCGGTTGATATTGGCGTTAAAGTTCAATATCGACATCTGCCATTCCATTAAAATAACTCGCCGATATAAAAGGCGCTGTTTTTGCCTGCAGTGGCAGCGCAACGCGATGACATCATGTGCGCCAAACTGATCTCACAGTGGAGAGTTGGTGAGGATGTCAGATTCTGAAGATTTACGGACTGCGTTGAGCCTCGCTACATCGATCCCAGTCTGAGATATTTTTCCGACGTAACGTTACCCAAAGCCATCATTTCTGATGTCACTGAGAAGCTAATAGCCGATAGCACAACTTGAGTGAGTTTTACCACAGACATTTGGATGTCATGTTAGTCCCGTTAGCATGATTAGTCTTACGGCACAATGGCTAGACAAAAACTTTGATCTTAAAAAGGCTGTCCTTCATGCACAGGAGTGCAGAGGATCCCACACTGCAGCTATAGGAACCTGGAACAAACCGCCACAAGTGAGACAGCATCGCAGGTGACTAATGCTAATAAATAACATTTAACACAAGTCAAAATGCTATGCATATCATAAGGCTGTTACTGAATATATGTCACCAGCTCTTACAGCCGTTGCACAATTTTTGTAGCAAATACGCCTAAATAAGAGGAATATGTTCTGACAAAGGAACGTATATAAAATATCGGTATCGGCATCGGCCGAATAAGTTTTCACATATCGGCCAAAAATCCAATATCGTGCATCCCTAGTTTTAACTGTCCAAAGTCACGTTTTTGGATTATTAAAAACAGCTACACTAAAAAGCTACGCTACGAGCTAAGCTAATTAGCCGACTTCAGGAAAAAACCTCCGTCTTTTCAAAGTTCCAAAATTCACAGTTGAATCAATCAACCTTTATTTATACAGGTAAATCAAACCCGTGTCTTTGTGTAAAAAGTTGTTTTTCTCTGCAAAAAGGCGCTGAGAACTTGTTTACTGATTTTTTTTTTTACTAAAAGCTTTGTGTGACAAATGCTATGATAAAGAGCTCAAACCACACAGAGCGTCCGCCATTTTGAGAATCGAATAAAGGAAGGAGAGACGGCCCATGTCACGTCAAGGGGCCTCCCTCCCATTTTTCCTTAAAGAGACACGCTGCTTGCGCCCTAACTATCCATCCTTCGGTTCAAACCGTTTTATACTGCCATCCGGTGGTCGAAAAAAAATGTACTACACGCAAAACAAATGAACCAACATTTCTTCTTAAAGTTGACAATAATTACTAATTATTGTCAAAATTTCAAACAATCTTATTGTGTATCGCAATAATTTCTGAGACAATTAATCGCCCAGCAAAATTTGTTATCGTAACAGGCCTAGTTACTACTACTGTTACATACTCTATTACATACTCTAGGCACAGAGGCACAAAAGGGGTGTGCTGGCTTCGAAGTCACACTGAGGCAGCCAGAAGGTGTCGAAGTCCTGGACTGAGGTGTGTTGTGAGACAGCCTAAAGAGTCAAGGTTACTCGCTTTACTGTTCATGTTTGTATTTGGAATTATTTCTATCATTAACGTGTATTTTTCTTTGTCTTTTCCCCCCAGTAAACACCTGGACCAGCCATTTTGTGTCTGTCTTCCTTGTCCTCTTTAAAGCCAGCCAGTCAAGGCGTATGCCGGTCGAAGCAGAGTTTTCTTTTCTACTGTTGCCTTGTGCTTATCAAGGTGGGAGACTGTGACGAAATGAAGATAACACAATCTGCTACCTTACCTTAGATACATAATGTTACTAATTGAATTTTTATGTATGAATTTGTTCAGTGCCCTGAGATCCCTTCTGTTGTGACTTGGCGCTATATAAATAAACTGAACTGAATTACTACTGTCCATCATGAGCTCAGTTCTGCTGGAGGTTTCTTCCTGTTTAGAAGTTTTTCCTTTCCACTGTTACCAGTGTACTGTGCTGTATGAAGTGGAGACGACGCAATCTGCTGGCTTCTTTAGATAGATAACTTTTGCTAAATGACATTTTATAACTGTATGTGGATGTTTTTGTCGAGTGTCTTGATGTTTGTTGTTAATTGGTGCTGTATCGTGAAATAAACTTAATTGAATTGAATAAAAGAACAGTACAGGCCCACTGCAATGAAGCAGGTGCATCATGTAAACAAGCTCAGCCTTCCCTGCTTTTAAAGTGACAAAAAAAAACGTTTAAATAACGCGGCATTTAGCTGCTATTTCCAGTTTAAACCTGTTTGAGCAGCTTGTAAAACGTCTGTACAGTAAAGCCTCATCATTCATACTGATGACACTGACAGCCCTGATGGGCTTGGCTCCATGTTAGCTAGCACCTGCGGCTAACGCCACTGTAAAACGAGCTACATGCTAACAGCTAAACGCCCCGAGCGCTGGTAGCGATATTAAAACCTACAACGAAGACATACTCACTTTTCCCAACGGTGTCCTAGTGAGACCACATCAACGTCGCCTGTACTTCCTCTTCCGAGCCTGCGTGGTTGGACGAAGCGGACCAGCCAGTTTTTTAACTTACCTGTAATTAAACACCATTTCCGGTCGATCTGTATTTCAAAATAAAACAACTAAATGAAAAAGTTTCTGCTTAATTTAGGGATTTTTTTTTTTTTAATTATTATATATATTAAAACAATATTCGTAATAAAATTAGAAACTAGAACTATAAAAGGCATTAAAATAAGTAGTTTATAAAATATATTTATGGTAGATGAGCATAGCCACACTGGAAATTACACTAATTTAAAAAAAAGAAAATGGGCTTTATAATAGACTAAAGTCTATTATGGCTTTTTTGTCTTTTATTTTAACACTAACATTCATAATTTCTGTCTGAATTCTCATTGTTTTAGCTCAGAATTATTTAACTAAGTTGCTCAGAGCCAACAGCTCAGATTAGGCCATTACATGAATTTAATTTACAAGTTAAAATCTAGTTTTATTTTAAATGACCTCATTACCAGATGGACTGAGATGCATAACCCTGTCATAGATCTATATAAAAGGATCACCTTTCTATCAGAAAAAGTTGTCATTTCAAATATAAAAAAGTTATTTTACATTGAAATATATATATATATATATATATATATTTTTTTTTTTTTTGCTTTTCTTTTAAAAACCCATTGATGGCCTGGACTGAAGTTACCAGGGGGGCAGATTTCATTTCTCGAGGACTCATTTACAAGAGAGACCTGATTTCAACAAAGAAAGATGACAACAATGGACAACAGCAACAACAATAAACAGTTATAAAAAGTCATACTGCAGTTTTTTTTTTTTTACAAATAGGATGGCTAAAAGAAAGAGAGGTAACAAAAAAACAGCTAGATTCTAAGGCGAATGTAGAAAACTAAAAACAGGAACATGTCTGCATTGGTCCCTGCCAGGAGTCCAACAGATTCTTAAAGACACTTAGAGAGGTCAAGGTCGAGAGCTTCAGATCTTTTTGTAAGATATTCCAGGAAACAGGAGCGGAGTAGGAGAAGGCCCTTTTGCCTAGTTCAGTCCTCATTGAGGGAACACTGCAGGTAATAATGTCCTGAGAGCGCACACTGTAACTGCACATGTAGGAGGAGATGTATGAAGGCATGAAGAGCCACCAGTTGAATAACCTTGTTTCTGGTGATTGGACTGTTAGGTTTGATGCACTGAGAAACCACAAGAGTTAGAGTAAATTATTTGAAGCAAAATATTTTGTGGTAGCAGTATTTATTATAGCCTTGTACGGACCAAATAAGACCAGGTACTTGCCAAGAATGTTCTGGATATGTAGCTACCTGGGACTTACCGGCAGATCAAAGCCATAGGACCAGTCTAGATTAAAAATATCTTAACAGTATATACTCTGTGATTATTAGATACTTGCATGATACTGTACTTACTTGGTATATATTTGAAATAAACCAGATTCATACCTGGTACTTATTGGATGAATACACTGTGTTTCAGGATACGTAACTGAAGATACATTTAGTTCTTATGTGGTAGCCCGGTATTTACCTAGTACTTACTAGTTAGGTATTCCGTAAATACAAGGTATAAAGCTGGTACATGCCAGATAAGAATCAGGTATGTGTTTTAATAGTAATGCATCACTGTACAGTTAAAGCGTTCAAACCCATTTTGCCAAATTAACGACCTATTTTATTTTGAAATGTGGGACTACTAACGTCTCATGACGCAATTCAACTTCCGCTAGCATTAGCGGCAAGTGTTTGTTGACAGCAACGCCGCTTAGTTTTACACTGTTTTAAGTTTCGTTTTGTTTTCTTGGTTAAAAATGGCATCGTCCAATTCATATAAACTAAGGTGCTCCATCCCGGGCCACGAGATGGACGTGAGGGGACTCGCAAGTACTATTTTTCCAGAAGGAGCTTTCGTGTCTGTGTCCAGAGACCGAACCGGAAGAGTTTGGTTGCCGAACTCAAGGTAGCTAGCATTAGCACTAGCCTCTTGCTGACTAACTATACTGCCAGTGCCATGTCACCTTTTATTTTAGTTGCCAACTAGTTATTGGGCCAGGGAACTCGTGTGGTTAATAAAATGGGTTGATTGAATAACTCCCTCAAACAAGCTCTTGCTGTTTCCAGAACAACTGTTAGCTTCCGAGCTAACAGTTGCTCAGATTAGCTTTGTCATTCATTCTAACAGCTCTGAAAATTAGATTAAGATCAAGTTTTATAATGGCAATACCGATTTAATTACGTCTTTTTTTAAAGTATTTAAAGACATATTAAGTCTCGAGACATTTTCAGGAGAAAAAAATAAAACTAAATAATTGAACTACCTAAAAATTGTATAAGAAAGTCTTGAACCCCAACCTAAATTTGACCTGAAGTGTTTTTGTTGTCAAAGCCAAATGACCACAATTCAAGATTTTAATTATTTAAATAGATAAACTATATTTTTAGTAATCGTATTTGCATTTACTTTGAAAATGCTACATGAAAGCTAAATTTATTTGCTAAACTTTGCTGAAGATTAAACTCTGGTTAAAAGTAAAAGAAGCAAAACACTAGCTAAATTCTTTAAAAAGCTGAACGCTGGCTAAATGCTAAAAACAGATCTCTAGCTATATACTAAAAGAAGCAGGATGCCATCAAAATAGTAACAAGCAGATCACTATTTAAAAGTTAAAGGAGCAATATACTAACTTAAAGCATAAGCAACTAAAGGCTAGCTGCAAACTAAAAGTAATAAGTCAAGCTAACAGTAGCCAAAGGCTAGCTATATGCTAAAGTAACAAAAACTATAAAAAGAAAAGTAGCTACAAGCTAAAAGTAGCATAAGAACACAAAAATAAGGCTGTAGGCTGAACCAGCTCTTTAAGAGAACAAATGTTTTTGAAGAAATTAAACAGATCTCAGTGTATTTATTTGTAGTAAATATTTGCAATTAGGTCCATTTTTTCATTTAGCCTTTATTTATACAGGTTAGTCTCACTGAGTCATGATATCTTAAATAGTTTAAATAGTAATTTAAAAAGGATTCAAAGTTACTAAACCTTTAGGGCATGCTTTCTATTGCCTGAATGAGCGGATTGTTTTAATATAAGAATTGCTAAATTTGCAAAAATAAGTAGAAGTAGTTAGATTGCAACAAGCGTACCGAAAAATATAAAGAATGGAAAACAAACAACAACAGTGGACTGAAAGCTTGTTGTGAATGCAGTTTATGAGCATTCTAAGGAGATGTAAATGCTAAATTTCCCTTCTCTGACTGATGATAGTAAGACTTTAACATTTCATTTGTGAAATCCATTGTTTTTGCAGGTTAGCATAACATTTCAGTCAACATCCTGTTGGGTTTGCCGATGTTGAAAAGAAAAGGGCACTCCTGTTGTGAAAGTCAGTTTGCGTGGCCTGGAGAAGTACTTTGTAACGTGCTTTGGGATTAGAGTGATTTTATGGGTTTTCTCTTAACAACTAATTAATTTGTACAATATACATGCGTTTCAATACAAATCTGTCTTCACTGAGGATGTTTCTGTTGCCTCCTCCCCCGTCTCACCAGCCCAGACAAAGGCTTCACAGAGATGCACTGCATGTCTGGCCACTCGAACTTTGTATCGTGCGTTTGCGTTATTGCACCCAACGAAACGTACCCCCGCGGGCTGATCGCCACAGGTGGGAACGATAATAACATTTGCGTCTTCACTCTGGACCGACCGCAGCCCCTGTTCACCCTTCAGGGTCACAAAAATACAGGTGAGTTGTCGTTTTCTGAGCGTCGGCCATCCTTTATTTTTTAAAGAGTACATGAAGTGGTGCCAGCTTTGTATTTTCGTTGTATTTTCACAGTTTGCACGCTGTCGTCGGGGAAGTTCGGGACACTTTTGAGCGGCTCCTGGGACACCACGGCTAAAGTCTGGCTCAACGAGAAGTGCATGATGACTTTGCAGGTGTGTTGGAGCTTCTGCGATCGTTCTGTAAAGAACAAGTTGAATTTGGCTGATTTTCATATGCTGATGTAGTAATAATAATGATAAGCAACACTTGAACTGGGGGAACTAACGGGGTGTGTTATCTGCTGGATATGTTCGCCTCAGGGCCACACAGCAGCGGTGTGGGCGGTGCTCATCCTTCCTGAACAAGGCCTCATGCTGTCTGGGTCAGCAGATAAAACCATAAAGCTCTGGAAGGCTGGTCGATGTGAGAAGACGTTTACAGGTGAGACACTTCGAGGTCTACATGTCACTCTGATTTATAATCACCTGAAGGCAAAGGAGCAACGATAAGCTAACCTTTTAAATAGTGGAGAACGATTTGTAGACACGCATGGAAATGAAAGAACAACCTTTATTTGGTTTAAATCCAAGCTTTTGGGCCTAAGGGCCAACATTGTCAAGTTGAAAGTATTGGCAGACCACAAAGCTTTAAATATTTGATTTAAAATGGATAAACATATATTTTTTTTCAACTTGCAACAACATCGTAATCGCACATTATTTTAATAGAAAGACAAAAATGTTACTTGTTTTTGTTGAAAAGGAGTTTTAAAATTGTTTTAGAGCCAAAACACAAGAAAACCCTTATGTTGGATGTCCTTCCTGACACAACCACAGACCACCGAGCTACCACAGCCCTCTGTGTGGAGCAGAGAGCTGCCAACTAGGGTGCCCGGGGGGCAGATGGGGGGGGGGGGGGTAACGGCCTTGACCGAGGATCCAAAGTGGGGCAAACAAGGGTAGAGGCACATGTGGGTGCTTCACTTTTCCCACAGACATTTTTTTGATGTTGTCGGTCCAGGGAGTCAAACTGACGACCTTCCGATTATAGGATTATAGGCCCCCCTTCTCTAACCTCTGCGCCACCGCTCCCCCATTCCTTACAGTGATAATTTTGTTTGCTCACAGTTTAAGTCCCACATGCGAGAGTTTCTTCAAAGATCTTCCCAACAAGTCCTTGCTATATAAAGTCAAGCTTGTTTCTAATGCTCGTTGTGTTGGATAAAAATATCCTCTATAAAGAAGCCACACTCGACATGAGAAGGGTTTTAACTGGTTTTACTTGCAAGGGCAGACTTTCACAACAGGTTACACAGATGTTCAGAAGATTTACATGCAGGGAGCCCAGTAATGAGAATCTGCCACGAGCAGTGTGCGAGGCTTGTTCTTATAACCTTATCAGCTCCCGGCTCACAGGCAGACTCTGGTGACCTTGGCCATCCAGCTGCACATGTAGGATCAAATCAGCTCCTCGTTCAGCTCTCTGGGAGAGAAAAGAACTCTCTGCTCACTCAAACACACGGTTCATGGGTCACTTAACATTCTCAGTCATGGTAGTTAAAAAAACATTCATAAACCTTGACCAAGGTTCCGTGACACGTGAGGTTTCTGAAGGTTTGTGCTCCTTTTTACTGTGATTTTAGAACAAGAAAAAAAAAAGTGGTGGGTTAAAGACAAAAACCTGTGTTGTGCTTGATACTGCACATGGAAGATTCTCATCATTCGGTTTTCTTAGTAAAACTGGGGAAAAAAAATAAAAAATGAATATATACACACCGTATTTTCTGCCGTACACGTTGCACCGCTGTATAAGTTGCATCTATTATGCGTCACTGTTGACCACCTGGAATCGTGGGCCTGTGTTGTGCCAAAAAACGATTGGTGCACGGGAGGACTTTAGCAAGAATTTAACAAGATGTATACTTAAAAACAATTATTTATTTGCTCGACATTATAGTAAAGGTGTGTCTCAGTTTAACTTTTCCTTAATAAATGCACTTTAATGGTCAAATCAGCTGCATTTCGCCGCTGATTTGACGTTTGCTCCAGGAGTTCCGGAGAGAGACGAAGGTGGCTTTGTATGGCAAGCCAAGTGTCTCATTAATAGCCACTTTTACCTATTAACGAGACACTTGGCTTGCCATAATTCTTGAGGGCCCCCCCCAGCAGCTGCAGATGGTAATGTTTAATATTTTTCACGTCAGAATGAATGAAATCGTCAGATTTCAGCCATTATTAATATGGGGGGGGGACGTATATTAGTCGCAGGACTTGCAAATTTATGCAAAAAGTTGTGACCTATACGGTGAAAAGTACGGTATATAAAATCAGCCGTAAAATTTGCAGACGGTGTTCATCTACATCAACCACCTGTGGGCCAGAATTACCCCACTCTGAACCACAAATGAACGCTGTAAATTACTCTCAGGACGTATATCGGACACTCCTGGTTTAAACCTTCAGCTTCATTTGTAAAATGTTTTTCAGTTCAGGTACGTGTTGCTTTCCATCAGAGTGGGTGGATTTAAGCCACGGTTGTAAAAAACAAAACTTAAACGTTTGGAGATTTATGACTATAAGCAAACAAAATCCCCTTTTATGTTCTCGTCTTTAGGTCATGAGGACTGTGTCAGGGGGCTGGCAGTGATCAGCAGCACAGAGTTCCTCTCTTGCAGCAACGACACGAGCATCAGACGGTGGCTGGTGACGGGCGACTGTGTGCAGGTTTACTACAGCCACACCAACTTCATCTACAGCTTAGCCGTCTTCCCTAACAGCCAAGGTTTGTTCACGCTCTCGTTACAAAGATCCGTTTGACCTTCCTGCCTCCGAACACTGACGCGCTCTCGCTTCAGATTTCGTCAGCACAGGAGAGGACCGGACTGTGAGGATATGGAGGAAGGGGGAGTGCTTCCAGACGATCCGCCTGCCCGCTCAGTCTGTTTGGTGCTGCTGCATCCTGCCGAACGGCGACATCGCTGTTGGCGCCAGGTACACACGCACACTGACGTCCAGTCAGACTATAAAAGGTGTTTCACCTTAAACGTTTATTTTGTCTCCTACAGTGACGGCATCATCCGTGTTTTTACGGAAGCTGAGGACCGTGTGGCCAGCGCAGAGGACCTCCAGGCCTTCGAGGACGAGCTGTCCAAAGCTACCATTGACCCCAAGACCGGAGACCTGGGAGACATAAAGATGGAGGACCTGCCTGGAAGGGAACACCTCAACGAGCCTGGTAGGACACAGCCTTCATTATCACAAAGGCGGATGTAAAGTCATTTTATGTTCGTGTGTTAGCAAAATATGTCATGATCCACTGGATGGATTTTAGTGAAATTCCCAGGAAGTAATCTTTGGATGTAGATCTACGACTAACCCTAACCCCATTCAAGATGACAGCTACTGCTAATCACCTTTAGCCAAGACAAAAAATAAAACGCTACATCTGTCAATTTTTCCACACATTTCAACTTTTTCAGCCCAGTTCAGTAAAATGTGCGCTCTCCACTTCCTTCTGGTAATTTCAGCTTCTTTCTGCATTTTTAGCTTCTTCTCAGCTGGTTTTTTTTTTTTTTTTTGTGCTAATTTTAGCTTTTTTCAGATAATTTCCACTTTGTTTGCGCTGCTTTCTGCTTCTTTCAGTTTAATTGGACAAACGTGCTCTCTCTACTTTCTTCTACTAATTTAAGCTTGTTCTACTTTTTCAGCTAGCTTTGAAGCTTTTTTAGTTAATTTCAACTGGTTTTTAGCTAATTTCAGCTGGGTTATCTTTAGCTAATTTTGGCTGTTTTTTAGCTAATTTTAACTGTTTTTTTTATCTCTACATCTGGTTTGTAGCTAATTTAAGCTGTTTTTAATCTAATTTCCACAGGGTTTTTTTTTCTAATTTCAGCTGGGTTTTTTTTTTTTTTTTTTAAGCTAATTTCAGCTGGGTTTTTTTAGATAATTTCAGCTGGGTTTTTTGCTAATTTCAGCAGTTTTTTTTTAGCTAATTTAAGCTGTTTTTAATCTAATTTCAGCAGTTTTTTTTTTTAGCTAATTTCAGCTGCTTTTCAGCAAGTTCTTCAGCAATAAGCATTCACTCTGCATTTTTGCAGGAAATGCAACTTCTGTAGTTTTAATTTTTTTCCTTCCAAGATGGTCTCAGTTTTAAACTAAAAGGAAGTGGGTGAAAGGCATTCCTTCGGTCAGTGTTTGTTCTTTAATTTAATTTTTTTAATTTAAAAGCATTTGTTCATTCTTGATAACCTGGACCTGTTAACAGATCTTATAAATGAAAAACAAAACCTATTAAAATGCAAACCGGAGTGAAGTAGTCTGTCGTCAGCGCTGCGTTCAGACTCGAGTTGTCAGCGTTGTTTTCGTCCTCCAGGGAATCGTGACGGGCAGACGCGTTTGATCAAAGACGAGCAGAAGGTGGAGGCGTATCAGTGGAGCGTGAGCGACGGCCGCTGGCTGAAGATCGGAGACGTGGTCGGAGGCTCCAACCAGCAGACCTCCAAGAGCGTGATGTACGAAGGAAAGGTAAGGAGCGGTTACGGGCTTGATGGAGGGAACTCCGGGCGAAGGCGTTCGCTGATAAGTCGTGGTCTGGCTGCAGGAGTACGACTACGTCTTCACCATCGACGTTAACGAGGGGGGGCCGTCCTTGAAGCTGCCGTACAACATGGCGGAGGACCCCTGGCTCACGGCGCACAACTTCCTGCAGAAAAACGACCTGAGCCCCATGTTCCTCGACCAAGTGGCTAATTTTATAATCGAGAACACTAAAGGTCACGTGGTGGGTCCAGCTCAGCCCGAGGACGGGGACCCGTTCACAGGTGAGGCCTCGATGTGCACCTGAGGGCTGTTTTAACGAAACTCCACGCTTCCCGTGTCTTTAGAACTTTCTTCAATGGAAGTTTTTTGTGTTTTCTTGGGCAGGAGGAGCTCGGTATATTCCTGGATCCTCTGATGACGGACAGAGCTTTGGAGCAGATCCCTTCACAGGTCAGAACGTCCACCAGAACGTTTCCTACAACGTCACCTCACCTACTGATGCAGGTTTGTTTAACCCCTCAGGTGCTGGCCGATACATCCCAGGGTCGAACCCCAACCCAAGCGCTCCTTCAGGCGGGGCAGACCCGTTCACAGGTGAGCTGCTGACGGAAACAACCACCTGGAAACTCCAAACACTTAGAGACCGTTTAAACCGTTCTGGTCAACAGTTTACACCGTCTGTTTGTAGAAGAATGAGAAAAGTGAAGGAATGGAGGATAAATAAGGTATTTCAGGTCTAAAAGGGACTTTCTGCAACAGAGCAGCGTCTGAAAGTCTTGTTGAGAACTAGAGAAAAGAACTTGAGTAAAGACCTGAGAGTCTGTTTATGTTGGACTGAATGTCAAGTTTTCAGCTAATAGCTCTAAAATGATTTTTGATATATCAAGCGGTGCTGCTTTTAGTATTATTCACAGATTCAACAAACAACTAGAATGAATTGTCTTCATGGTGATAGGCCTGTCGCGATAAACAATAAATCAATTAATCGCATGATAAATAAAAAAATTATCGACCTCATTTTCATTTATCGGCTTTATCGTGTCTTCGTGTCTCTCTCTTTCTACTGAAGACACTGGATGACAAAAAGCTCAACTCCGGTGCTCTTCGCTGACCCCTCCCTTTCTCTTTTCTCTTTAAAATCCATTTTAACCGTCCAAAATTGCGTTTTTGGATCGTTAGAAGCAGCTAAGCTGAGAAGCTACGCTACAAGCTAAGCTAACAGGCCGACCTCGGGGAAAAACCCTCCGTCTTGTCGAAGCTCCAAAATTCACGGTTGAAATCCGTGCCTTCGTGTAAAAAGTCGTTTTTCTCTGCAAAGACTGATTTTTTTAATTAAAAGCTTTGCGTGAAAAATGCAATGTTAAAGAGCTCAAATCACCAAGCGTCCACCATGTCAACCCATGTCACGTCAAGGGCCCTCCCCCCCATTTTTCTTAAACAGACATGCTGCTCAACTATCCATCCTTTGTCCTGATGCATGCTCAATAATCCAGGTAGAAAAATCTTAAAAAGTTAAGTCCAAGTTTTGTTTTGTTTTTTTGAATGTCCAGAGATATCCATCCTTTGGTTCAAACAATCTTATGCTGCCATCAGGTGGTCAAAAAAGGTACTACATGCAAAACAAACCAACATTTCTTCTAAAATTGTTAAATTTCAAACGATATTATCGTTCATCGCAATAGTTTCTGAGACAATTAATCGCCCAGCAAAATTAGTTATCGTGACGGGCCTACATGGCGAGTTGTTTGTATCAACGTGGCTAAAGATCCAATTTAAAGAGGTTTTTTTGTTATATGTTGATGCAGCTGTGGTTCATCCCTGGAGTTTAGGAGGCTTTGTGTGCCTGAATGGTTTGAGTCAAGTGGCTAAATAAACGAAACAAAACAGGACGTTCTGAAAATGTTCAAGTACTAAATGAGCCAAAGTCCAACAAAAAGCTTGAAAAAGGCTAAAAATTAATCAACTCAAATCATCCTTATCTGTAGAGCTTGTTTAAAACAACCAAAGTGCAGCACAATAAAACTGTGACATAAATAGGGTGGGGGGCTTTAATCTTTTTATTTAAAATAAAAAAATATCAATATAAAAATGGCAAAAAATGAGTAGTACCTCGTTTATCGTGGGGGTTACGTTCCGGACCCCTCCTGCAATAAGTGAAAATCCGCAAAGTAGAAACAACGTAGATTTCTGAGTTGAAACAAACCAAAACAGTAATAAATTTAAATCAACTAAATTTAAGCTTTAAAAATTATTTAGTAAGAGTGTATTAATCAAGATAACTTGATAATTAAAATTTTAAGTTGAGGGAGTAGTAATGACTTTTTACTCACCAGCTCTGCAGAACACAGCAGCTCGGTTCTGGTCCGGCTCAGTTGCGGTTCAGCAGACCTACCGGCCTTGGTCTGGTTCTGGTCCGGTTCTGATCGGCTCTCTGCATCCACTGAGCTCCGAAGTCAACTGAACAGTTTCCAATCAAATCAAAACTTTCCCTCCAGCAGAAAACAACTTTGCCTTCTGGGTAATGTAGTCCTTTAGACTGGCGATACAGTGTAGACTTATTGAGAGAAAACTACAATATGGCAACACTTTTTTGTGTGTGTGTGTGTACAATTGTTGAAAAACTGCGAAAGAGCGAGTCTGCAAAAGTCGAACTGCGAAGTAGCGAGGAACTTATAATATATTATATATATTAATATATTATTCACCTATAATGACACCGTGTCGAGGAACTCTGAAGTGTGAAGGTGCAGCGGATCATTCATGGCAGGCACACAACGGAGGCAAGAGGGCAAATTTCTTGTTTTGGTTTTGGCTTCAAACAACAAAACGGTTTAATCAACATGAACGACCATTAGAAACATTTGACTACGAGCGTCTGGCCTCTTTGAGTGGGCTGCAGCTCCCCCCTCCCCATGCTGCTGCCTCTTTGTGTGTGTGAGTTGCATCTGGGTGCAGACACACACACCTCTGCTGCTTTCAGAAATAATAACTGGATCATTCCTCCTGCAGGAAAAGGCGCCTACTCCTCTGCGGCCCAGAAACAGCCGACCAACATCTACTTCCCCAAGACGGACGGTGTGACCTTTGAGCAAGCTAACGCCTCTCAGATTATCGGTGAGCATTTTGACTTTCCATCAGAAGACGTGCGTCTGCGAGACTAATGGTTATCAACTGTTTATAACGAGGACCACCTCACTGGGGGTGTCCAGACCTGGTCCTCGAGGGCCACTATCGTGCATGTTTTACATGTTTCTCTGCTCCAGCACACCCGATTTGAATCAATGGGTGATTACCGGGCTTCATCGGAACATGAAGATGTAATTGAGCGATTGAATCGGGCGTGTTGGAGCAGACGATCGAGTAAAACATGTAGGATAGTGGCTCTCGAGGACCAGACGTCCCTGTACTAAGATATCCAAGTACTACCTACCTTATACACAAGTGCAGCCTATATAGGTACAAAATAGTTTTTCTTTTTAAATGTAGTGGTTGTGGCTTATTTTCAGGTGCGCTCAATAGTCCAGAAATTACGGTGTGTGAGAAATAATTTTAGTAAACCCGCTAATTTTTTGTTTATTACCCCCAATAAACACTGAAAAAACACTAACGTTTCCAGAGGTTGTTCTCATTTAAACGGGGCCTTAAATCACTTTGACTTGGTCATTTTAAAAGTAGCTCGCATGCTGAAAAAGTGTGGGCACCCCTGGGTTAAAGGGTTCCACGTGTTCTTTGAGGACAACACAAACTGGTCCTGGCTCTTCTTTTGCTGAAAAATACTAATTTAAGACAACTTTCTCTGTTTTGTACCAAATGCTGCCGTCAGATCTGGTAGAGACTTTGCTGCAACACTAAGGAGCCGTGAGCGCAGCTGTTCTCCAGTTCCCACAAGGTTCCCACAAATCTTTTCCCCAATAGCTTTTCATGTTTAATTGGCTCGTTACTTAACTAGTAAATAACTGATTCCAAAGTTTCCTCTGAGCAGCACAGCTTGAGAACCATCGTTTAAAGCCGGGGATGGGCAACTATTTTTTTTTTCCAGAGCGCCAAATCAAGATATTTAAAGCAATCCAAAGTCCGTATAAAGAATTGGAAAATAAATTTTCTTTAAGACTGATAATTAAGACGACGTAATTAGTTGGCATATTTGAATAAAATATTTCTGCCCGATACTCTTTAGGAATGTAAGACTTACTGTCTTTAAACTGGCTCCTGTGACAATATATTTATTAGGTTAAATATAAAAAATACAAGTTCTTTGTTATTAATTAACGTATTAATGTAATTAATAAAATCCATCCGTTATCTTTAACCGCGTCTTCCTTTTCGGATCACGGGGGTCACTGGTGCACACGTCCAGCCATCACTGTGCGAGCTGGACATGTCTCCAGTCCATCACAGGGACACAAAACGAGACAAACAACCATTCACGCTCACTCACACCTAGAGACAATTTAGAGTTACCAATCAGTCTAACATGCATGTTTTTGTCTGTGGGAGGAAACCGGAGAACCCGGTGAAAATCCACGCATGCACGGAGAGAACATGCAAACTCCACCCAGGAAGGCTGGGATTTGATCCGGTGACTTTCTTGCTAAGAGGCGGTAGCTCTGTCAACTGTGCCACAGTGCCGCTAATAAATTACAATTTGTCATAAATTTTTTAAAAAGTTTTATTTACAAATGATATTGGGGGCCGAATGGAGATTGTCCAAGGGCCGCTTTTGGCCCTCGGGCCATACGTTGCCTGCGTCTGTTTCGGCGATGGTTCAGCTCTTTTTTTGGGGGGGAGGTTCTGTTGTCAAGTCAGGTCATCTGGACACTTTCTTTTTGCTGAGACTTTTCGTCCTTCATCCAAGGGACTTCTTCAGTCCGAGGAGCCACAAACAAACTGGAGTCCCACAAGTACCACATTCCCATAGTGGAAAAAAAACCTGTTGATAAGATGGTTTCTGGGGCCCGCCCTCTCCCCCGTCAACTCCTCTGAGGCAGTCATGCCAAAATTGTTCAAAACACCAAAGTTCATGTTCAATAATCCAGGTACAAATCCAGCAAAGTTCAGTCAGGTCATCTGGATAGTTTCCTTTTTTGCTGAGACGTTTCATTCCTTCATCCAAAGGACTTCTTCAGTCCGAGGAGCCACAAACAAACTGGAGTCCCACAAATACCACACTCCCATAGTGGAAAAAAACTTTGAACAAAAGTGGACTCCAGTTTGTTTGTGGCTCTTCGGACTGAATAAGTCTTTTGAATGAAGGACGAAACGTCTCGGCAAAAAAAAAAAAAACGTCCAGATGAACTGAACGAACATTGTTGAATTTGTAAATGGATTATTGAATATAAACGTTGGTGTTCTGTTATTAAGTTTTGAATAGTTTCTATGTTGCCTCTTGATAACTCCTGACTTTATTCTCTGCACAAATACTGATGATGTCATACTAAAACCTCTTGTTTTATCATTAGTTTATAGTCATAAATATAAATGAGCACAGAAATGTGTGTTTGGCTCGTTAAATAAAATCCCTCACTTTAATTATTTATTTATCTTTTGAAGCCAAGTTGAAGGAGCTGAATGCCGAGGCGCCTCAGGAGCACAAACTCTCTGCAGACATCGTGGAAAGTCTGGAGAGTTTGTTGTTGTCGGTTTGTGGGTCGAACTCAGCCGAGGCTCCTCCCACCCTCCAGCAGATCGACGTGCTCTGGAAGGCCTCGCACTGGCCTGAAGGTAAAGCACTCGACACAGTTCAACCGTTTCATCGTCGCTCCCTAACGCAATCCTCTCCCACAGACATCGTGTTTCCCGTCCTGGACATCCTGAGGCTGGCGGTGCGCCACCCGCAGGTGAACGAGAGCCTCTGCGGCGAGGCCGAGGGCGTCCAGCTGTGCAACCACCTGCTGAAACTGATGAGGAGCGAGAGCCGCCCCGCCAACCAGATGCTGGCGCTGCGCACGCTGTGCAACTGCTTCAGCGGCAGGCACGGCCGCGCCCTGCTCGTGGCGCAGCGCGAGACGGTCCTGTCGCGCGCCGCCGACCTGGCCGCCGTCCGCAATAAGAACATCCACATCGCCCTGGCCACACTGGTGCTCAACTACGCCGGCTGCTTTCACAGCCGGCCCGACCTGGAGGCCAAGGCGCAGTGTCTGTCCGTGGCCAGCAGGGCTCTGGAGACCGTGCAGGACAAGGAGGCCGTCTTCAGGCTGCTGGTGGCTTTGGGAACCACCGTGGCCTCCGACGAGACGGCACAGGACTTGGCTCGCTCCCTTGACGTCGGCTCTCAGATTTCCAAATACTCCTCGGTGTCGGATCCGTCGAAGGTGGGCGAGTGCTGCCAGCTGGTTCTGAAAGAACTCCACTGATGTGAATAGTTCCTGTTCCTCTCCTGAACGGGTTGTGATGAAAATAAAAATATTACACTTGTATGGTCTGCAATAAAAAACAACAAACGAACACTCACTAAATAATCTGTGTTTTTTTACTGGAGCTTCCTGGAGATTTGTCTGGTAAGTCGGTGTAATAAAGTTTTATAAACGTTAATTAAGTGTTAACAAGAAGTTCTGACTTCTTATGTGTTCGGTCTTATTGTGTGAACGTTTATGAAGCATTCACACTATTGGGATCCATTTTTTTTTCCGTACGTTTTTTGACACAGTCCCGCAGTTTTCAAACTATTTAAAAAAAATCCTTAATCAAAACGTTCAGCTGTTTCAGGACAGTCTTGCTATGACTTTTGGTATTGGTGCAACTTTAGCTTTTTGACATATTTAGCCTTTTCTGTCGTTTTTTTCTCATAGAAAATGAATTGAGCTCATTTTACATCCTTCAGATCTTTAGATCTGTTTACAACCTTTAACTGCTCCTTTCACATTTTGTTCTACTTCAGCTTCTATCAGCTTCCTTGTACATTTTTTATTCAGCTAATTTCAGTTGTTTTGTGCTCCTTTCAGCTTATTTATGCAAGTTTCAGCTATTTCTATTAATTCAGCTACTATTTAGCTGTTATGCTAATTTTAGCCTTTTCAGCTAATTCCGCATTTTTTGAACACATTTCAACATTTTTCAGCCTAATTCAGCAAAAATGTGCTCTCTCCACTTGCTTCTGGTAATTTAAGCTTCTGCTTTTTTAGCTACTGTTTAGCTGTTTTTTTTTTTTTTTTACATATTTCTGCATTTTCAGATAATTTCTTCTTTTTTGTGCTCATTTCTGCTTATTTAAACCTAATTCAGCAAATGTGTTCTTTCTGCTCTCTTCTGCTAACTTAGACTTGTTCTTCCATTTCAGCATGCTTTAGCTAATTTCAGCTGTTTTTCAGCAATAATTCTCACTTCATTTTTGCAGGAAATGTGATTTCTGTAGTCGCTGTTGCTCTTTAACGTGGCAGATTTGTTTCATCACAGCTCAAGTGAAATGTTCATTTGATCTGAGGCTGAAGTTCAACCGACAGCTGAACTTTGCTCTGATAGTTTAAGATTTAGTCTGAAAAGCTCCTCTGGGAAGATCTCAAAGATTTTTTTTTAATATCTATAATTTTTGCATACACAAGTATATGATCATTAACCATTTTTTTTATATTTAAATAAAACTATCAAGGCATGAAAGCTAGTGAATATGAACGTGGTCCTATACCCTTAAGTCACTTAAATGGCATAATGTATACTAATGGCTATATCAGTATTCAAATTGTGTTAGTATACAATCAAAGTTACACGTTTAGTATCGTTTTGTAAGAAGTACGCCCTGATGCCCATTGGATTATTGAATTTTAATGCCTATTTAGCAGTTTTACATATATTGGAACTAAAATAGAAACAATAACTTTTATGTTTAAGCCAAAACATGTGGTGTCTGGTCAGCTTTATTTTACACGTTTTACGCCTTGAATTTACAGTTTGTAATGTGAAGAAAAATGTAAAGTTACAAAAAAAATGTCAATTGTGATTTTTAAAAAGGAGCCACTGTTTTAATCTATATTGCAGGTTGGAAAATGCACAAATATGATTTGTTATATCTATGAAATATATATATATATATATATATATATATATATATATATATATCTCATACATGTGAAGAAAAATAATATTCACAAGCTAAACAGTAATTTCATGCTGAAGCTTAGCTAAGATTTGCAGTTTTTGCACTTGTTTAGTGCATCTATTAAGTTTTTTGTTGGAAAAAACTTTTAAACGTGTTATAATTATTTATTTGTTTTTGTTTTGGCCATGTTTTAAATACAGAAACACATTAGTGTTTGTAAAATTTGGTCAAAATGAACGCCTTTTTTTTTTCAAACTGTAGTTTTACTTTGGAAACTTCGTATCTGAACCGGATGTAGATTAGAACAGCATCCGGGTTATTAGGAAAAATTGGCGGTTTGCGTTTCTTTAGTATTAGTGTATAAGTTTAAACAAATGTCCAAATGAAAGTTAGTTAGTTCCAAGAGGTTTATATTTTACAGACCGTGAGTTAAAAGTTATTTTTGATGTTTGTTTTTTAATTTTTGTTGAAATGTCCGTCTTTTTTAACTTGAGAACTCGAGTTTCCTGCTGGACGTAAACGTTGAAGTTAGCGCCGTAGCTAACTAGCTCGGTCGCGTTTTGTGAAGACGACTCGGTTTTTGTTTTGTTTTTACTACATTTTACTCTCAGGAATAAAAAAAAAAACGATCTTAACAATGGCAAACCCGACACCAATGCAGAGGAAAAACGGACAGTATCTGTGGTTTTCTCTGCTCGGCCTGGGGTTTCAACCCGACGCTGCGGCTTCATCCATCACCAGCAAAACCAACATGAAGTATCTCAACTTGGGACCGTGAGTTCACTCCACGTTTACCTCATCTTTCCCTGTTCTGGTAACTTTAATGTTTCTTTTACTTCTTGTTTTCTGTTTGTGTATCATATAGGAACATGTTCGACAAACCAAACAAAGACGCCTTTTACATAGTAACCCATTTCCTGTTGGAGAAACTCAACCCCGCAAGATTTCATGAAACGTACAGGTAAAGACAGGCCTGATGACGTCATCAGGTGTTTACCAGAAGCTGTGGTTTACTGACATTATTAAATGTATTTTTTGTTTCAGGCACTGCTGGCCCGTTTTGAACCACAAAGCAGATGCGGAGTTCCGCAAACTCACTTGTTCCTGGCTGCGGGAAATAATGGTAAACATTATTATTTTTAATTACCTATTTGGCATCTTGCTTTTGTTCTCGGGTCTCTTACTGGTGTTGTTTTCTCCTTTCGTAGATAAAGGTTCCTACACAGTCAGAAGTTGAATTAAAGCGTGTTTCTTTTTTCTCCACTCCTGCTCTTTCTGGAGTCCATTACGATGTTACGTGCTGGACCATCTACCCTGCTCTCAATCATTTTAGTGTCTGTCTCTTTTATTTTTGCACTCTTTGTAGGATGACTCTGCAAACGCAGGATCCAAAGTCGTGGCGTCGTTGTTCCAGTCTCCTGGCGGCCCCAAGTTTATCAGCTTGATGCTTCATTTGGCCAGCTGCGTCATGCTGCAGGAGATGAAGACGTTCAACAAAAGTACCGCTCTTTAATTTCTGCGCCCGTAGTTTGGATCGTCAACTTAATCGTAGCTTTGTACACGTTTTTTCATTCTAATGAGTTAAGTCCGTCTCACAGTAATCGTCCTGTGTTATTGTCAGATGGCAGCTGGGTCCCTGAAGCAGCAGCGACGCCGGCCTCCTCCGCAGATGTGGCTGTTAGAAGGTTCAACCTGGTCCGTTCGAGGTTTCTGAAGGCTGCGGTTGATCAGGACCGTTTTCTCCACGAGTACCAGAAGCGAGCCCAGTAAGTCCTACTCCGTCGTCCCCCCTGCAGCTGGGTGGAGATGATTCTAATCGGATAGAGCGGGATGCGCAAAATCTTTTTTCAGTTTGTCAGAATTAAATAAACAAATGAATTCTAACATGGAGGAAAACATTTGCCAACTAGATAAATTTCATTTCCTGCGAAAACACAGTGTGAATGCTTTTTGCAGAAGAACTTGCTGAAAAATGGCAGAAATTAGCTAAAAACATTTTGAAATGTAGCTGAAATGGAAGAACAAGCTTAAATTAGCAGAAGAAAGCAGAAAGAACACTTTGCTGAATTAGGTTTAAATAAACAGAAGTTAGCACAAAAATTAGACAATTACAGTAGCTTAAAAAACCAGAAAATTGCAACAATGGAAAAAAAGTAGCTGAAAAGGCAGAAAGAAGCGTAAACTTCCGGAAAGAAGCAGATAGAGCTGAAGTTAGCTGAAAAAGCCAAGTTTAGCACAAGACGGCTAACTAGTAGCCGAAATATCAGAAAAAGCTGAAACAAGCAGACAAGTTGAAAGAAGCATAACAAGCTGAAATGATCAGAAATAAATTAATTAGGCTGAAAGTAGCAGAAATTACGATGAAAAGCTTGAATTTATCTGAAAATGGCTGAAATTAGCTAAAAAATGTTATTCATAAAGGTAGCTGAAAAGGTAGAACAAGCTTAAATTAGCAGAAGAAAGCAGAAATAACGCAGTTGCCCAATTAAACTGAAAGAAGCAGAAACGAGCACAAAAAAGTGGAAATCGTCTGCAAAAAAGGTTAAATTAGAAGAAAAAAACAGCTGAAAAGTAGCTAAATGAGCAGAAAGAAGCTGAAATTACAAGAAGGAAGTGGGGAGAGGACATTTCTGCTGAATTAGGCTGAAAAAAGTTGAAATGAGAGTAAAAATATGGAGTTGGCTGAAAAGGCTAAAATTAGCATAAAACAGCTAAATAATAGCTGAAATAATAGAAAAGTCTGAGAGCATAACAAGCTGAAATAATTAGCAGAAAGAAGTTAGAAGCAGCACAAAAATGTTGTTGTTAGCAGAAAAGAAGCTGAAGCAGAACAAAATGTGAAAGGAGCAGTTAAAGGTTGTAAACACATCTAAAGATCTGAAGGACGGAAAATGAGCTCAATTCATTTTATAAGAGAAAAAAAAATGGCAGAAAAGGCTAAATGTTTCAAAAAGCTAAAGATGCACCAATACAAAACGTCGAGTTTTAACAGCACATTGCGTTCACTATAAATCTTGTTTTGTGCTTCGCCTGCTTGAATAATTAAGATAATCTTGTCCTGCCCTCTTCACATCAGATCATTTTGGTTTGAGCTCGCTCACGTTTCTGTTTTTAGCTACGCCACAAAAATAAATCCAAACTTTTTGCTTTGTTTCCAACATCAGCTTAAATGGTCTCTGAATCTGCGATGAATGGAGTTCTCGTGTGTTTTCCAGCGTTGCTGTAGAAAAACTTCAATATTCACGCGGGGTGTTTTTGTTCTTCAGGGGTCTGGTAAAGTCCATGAGGGACATTAAAGCAGAAAGTGCCAAATATGATGAACTGCTAAAGTAAGTTTCACTTTTTCTATCCACAGTGCGGCCTCAAATTTGTGACCTCTGCTGCAAAATGACTCATTCAGGAACTTTTCAGTGTCGAGTTATTTTTCCAACTTTCAAAATGTATTTTGCTCTACAGCTTGTGTTCTCCGACTCATTTTGCCAACACAGGTTACGCTTATTGACGAAAGTGATTTAAACAGACTTGTTTACTTTTAGGCGTTGCAGTCCTGATTCTGCAGAGGTCGAACCTTCTCGCTCCGAGAAGATCCGAAAGGTTTGTTTTACATCTTTAAAGCCGCCAAAAACAAGTGAAACTGTTGACAGTCGGCTAAAGATGTGGTCGAAACGCGTAAAACGTTCATTTTTAACAGTGCAGTTTTGTTCTTCAAGGTGCGCTCCCTGTGGTCGGACGTTGAAGCGATGCTGTCGACCATCAGAGAGGAGCGGAGCGCCATGGAAACTGTCCTGAAGGGGGACGTGGAACAGAACGTCCTGGACGGAACGGATCGAGCCCTTCAAATCCCTCGCTGTCTGCAGGAGAGGATTGAACAGCTCCCACATCAGGTGAGAATCTTTTTGTTTACAAAACTCAAGAAAATACTTAAATGTCTGCTTTTCTGTAAAAGCACATCGTAGCTGCCAGGCTACAGAACGCACTTGACTCTCAGCTGCACATACTAAATTTAAGATTCATCATAATTTTGTACATAAATAAGACGCTCTGGTTATTAAGCTGCAGGTACACGCGTTTCATTATCACAATCAGTGCCCAGCTCCTGGCGTTCTGCTCTTGTTGCAGTACAAGAACCAGCCACCGGGTGGCGTTTCACTGACTTTGGCTCGGTGATGTCATAAGTGTTCATGATGCTTCGCTGTCTGACTCGTGGCTAAAACCATTCAACCTACAGAATGAACACCGTTGATTTTTATTGTTGCACGTTTTGGTACCAGCAGCTGTTTTTTACAACGGATCTTTAGGGCCACGGTAAAAAAAAATTACTTTTTTTTTTTTTTTTTTTTTTTTTTTTAGCCATAAAATTGCGGAAATAAATTTGTACGAGACTTCTTTTTTTTTTTACAGCTGCATTAATTTTTTGTTCCCACGAGTCAGATCCACGACTCGACCTGTCAATCAGTCCAGTAGGCGTGTCAGCAAACGACAAATCCGAAGCTAAACGAGTCGTAATATTATCCAAACTCCGACGCAATAATGAAGAGTTTACGCATTTTAACTGTGTTAAAATGAAGAATGTTTGTTAAACTTTATTGTTATTGACACTCTTACTCAAAACTTGTTCCAATACTGCCACCTACTGTGTTTTTGTTGGGGATGCACCACTTTTTCCACTCCCGATATCTGACTTTTGATATCGGTCTATATCAATCTGATGCAGAAAAACTGTTGAACTCTGTTCAACAAACTCGGCGTGCTCTTTAGGGTGAAATCTCTGGAGATGCTTGATTAAGTTGAACGTTATAACTGGAAGTTTTAGTGACACCCCCTGGAACCGTCGCTGTGCACGTATTGCACGTAGCTGTCGCATGTGTTGGCTGAGCCAGTGTGAAATGGTTCCAGACGGCTGATCCTTTCACTCGCTCCATTTTGAAAACCATCTGTGTGGTGAGTTCGCTAGCGCATGTTTTTATATCGGTACCGATATTTGTATCGGATCGGTGCATCTCTAGTTTTTGTATGCTGCTTACAGGAAGGTGCTACGTTCCAGCTCGCTGCAGGTAAGAAACTTTTAGCTTCGGATTGGTCATTTGCGGACACGCCTACTGGATTGATTGACAGGTCGCGTCGTTGATCCGACTCGTGGAAAAAAAATATTAATAGACGGCTGGGGGGAAAAAAAAAAAAAAAAGTCGTACGTTTTTATTCTTAAAAAAAAAAAATTCTTAGCATGGCAATGTGATTTTTATATTTTAATCTTTATTTTTTTTGCGCGGCCCTAAAACTCCGTCGTAGTTTTTAAATGTACTTTCTAAATAAATTTGACGTGATTTCTGCGGAGCTCGGAGGAGGAGGAGGAGGAAGAGGAGGGAAGAGCCCCTCCCATTCGTCGTCTCCGCTCCGTGCTGGGACGTGCACTTAAATGAGATCCTGGCATTTAAACACATATTTACAGTGAACAGAAATATTTAAAAACTTTTGTTAAAATATGAACCAGACTTCACCGCTTTGAAAATACATTTTGACGACTTTTGCTCAGCGGAGCCTCGTAACCCGGGAGGAGAGGAACAGCCAGTAAATTTATTTTATTTATTTATCTGAAAAATGCCTTTAACACAGCTAAAAAAAAATTTAAAAGTACCGTTAGTCGACCAAAAGTCACTCGTCGCGCTGTGCTCTTCGTCCTCGTGCGCTAAAGTCTTCTTCGAGGCTCATAAAAACGTCGTCTCTCTCTCGGCAGCTGCTGTTTCCTCCTTCGACAGCCAGATTGACCACGTTAAGAGAGTCTCCGTGCGTTTTCCACTATCGCTGAAATGAATGCACGTCTCTGTTGGGAGATGGTCCTCGAGAGGACCTCATTGCTCATTCAGGCTAGACTTCTGGTCACATGACGACAGAGTGGGTGGAGTTACGGTAGGAAAATTGAAACCCCGAGCCAGAGGTTTGGTTCATGTGATTCCGAGGACGTTCGCTCCGTCACTAAAGTTCTCCTCCAAGAGGAGTGGGTGCAGGGCAGCTAGGTGAGCGCCCAGCTCCGTCGAAGGAAAATGTCATTCAGCAGCAGGAAGCTGCCAAGAAACGGCAGGAAGTCTGTCAAAATAAAATATAAAATTATAAATTGTGAAACAAATGCACCAATTAGCCACTTCATATAAACCAATGTGTGAGATAAAAGTAGCGGCTTGTACACCGGCAGTTACGGTAACTTTAAATAAGTGTTTGGACGGATGTGTTTGTAAACGTTTAAAGTTGTTGTCTTCTCTGTGTTTTAGCTCAATTCAGGGAGTGTGTATGAAGCCGGCCAGCTGAAGCTCCTCTGCGTGCTGGAGCTGTCGAACCACGCCCTGCAGCTCCTGAAGGAGCAGCGTGCTCGGGTCTCTCCTGCCCCCGAATCCCGGCCCAGTTCTCAGAACCTGCAGGAGAAGAGTCGCCATTTGTCCCGGGTGCTGCAGGAGCTCCACCTCATCAGGTACAAAACAGGTTTTACTCTAATGTTAACAATTTATTATTATTTTTTAAACGATTCATAATGTTCTGTTCGGTTCTGCTGCTCATTCAGGCAAAAGCTTTCCAAGGAAGAGCTTCCAGAAATGAGGAGGTCCGTCAGAGAACTGGAGGCTGAGTGGGACAAGAGGTGGAGCGAAACTCTGAAGGAAACGCCTCTGGTCTCGTTCCTGAATGAAGATCCTGTGAGTGGTGCCTCTGCGTTAAGTTTTCAAACGACGGCTGTAGCAAAAATAAAACGCCGCCGGTCTGAAACAGGCGGGGGACATTCAGTCACATGAGTTTGTGGCAAAAGTCTCAGAATCCTGTCGGGTCCGTGACGTCTCTTCTGAACGATGTTCTGTTGCTTCGCTCTACCTTTTATGTTCAGGCTCTTGATTTCCTTTCACCCATGGCTCCTCTGTCTTTCGAACCGGCTGCTGAGGCATCGTACGTGTTTTCACAGTTTCCTGCAAAACTTCCAGGTGAGCCGAGTTCGACTCCGCTGTCCGCATTTGAACACTCGTTTGTTTTCTAAATGTTTCATTTTCACTTTCAGAAGAGAAGCCAGCCGACCGTGAACCAGAGGAAGTCGTAAACACAAGCAGTCTTAGCATGAACAGGTAACGGAGTCTCTTGTAGCAGCTGCTGAGCAGAACCCAGCAACACCAGTAGTTAATTTATGATGGGAGGCAGATACCTGGACAGTCCAAAGCTGTGGTCTGCCCGTCACTGGTTCTCCCCAGAGCGTCCCTGCTTTCTGATGACCGCGGCGACTTGAGAGAAATCGCCACGGACAGATACGGAGCAGACACTTTGATCATGGTGTTCACTGGAAATGCACCAGTCAGGCGTTATGTGGTGGTGGAGCCCAACTGGACATCGGACAAGAAAGATTATCTTAAAATAACTAGAGAAATTGCATTTCCTACGAAAATACAGTGTGAATGCTTATTGCAGGAAAAACTTGCTGAAAATTAGCTAAACAATGCTCAAATGTAGCTGAAATGAAAGAACAAGCGTATGTTGGCAAAAGAAAGCAGGAAGAACGCATATTTGCTGAATTAGTTTTAAATAAGCAGAAATGAGCACAAAAATGGAGGAAATTAGCTAAAAAAAAATCAAAAAGTAGCTGAAAAGTCAGAATCAAGTTAACCTACGAGAAGGAAGTGGAAAGAGCTGAAATGAGCTTAAAAAATGTAGTAGCCGAAAATGCGAAAATTTCCATAAAACTACTAAAAAGTAGCTGGAATAGCAGAAAAGGTGTAAACTAGCTGAAAGGAGCATAAGCTGAAATTAGCAGAAGTTTATTAGGCTGAAAGTAGCAAAAAATAACCACAAAAAACTTGAATTTATCTGAAAAATAGCTGAAATTAGCTAAAAAAAAAGCTAGCTGAAACGGTAGAACAAGTTTAAATTGGAAGAAAGCGGAAAAAACTTTTGCTGAAAGAAGCAGAAATGAGCACAAAAAGGTAGAAATTATCTGAAAAAAGCTGAAATTAGAAGAAAGAAAACAGCTGAAAAGTAGCTAAAAAGGCAGGAAGAAGCTGAAATTACAAGAAGGAAGGGGGGAGGGTACATTTGGGCTGAAAAAAAGTTGAAATGAGCGCAAAAATATGGAATTAGCTGAATATGCTAAAATTAGCATAAAAACAGCCCAAAGGGCAGAAAAAGCTGAAACTTGCAGAAATAAGCTGCAAGGAGCATAACGCGCTGAAATTAGCAGAAAAAAGTTAAAAGCACAAAAATATTGTAGTTAGCATTTAGCAGTAAAAATGTAAAAGGAGCTCACAATATTGTGAATGCTTCATAAACATTCACACAATAAATAAATACAAACGTTAAAAAAAGCATAAACTGTGATTTAGCCAGTCTTATTCTAGTCTTGAGAAAATTAAAGGTTTTATCCTTTATGGCTAAATCAATTTACGTGCCAATTTCTATTTCTTTCATATTTTTCTTTATTGCCATTTGGGGACTCTTAAATAAAAACATAAGTTGTTCAACAGCAGGACGGTCAAATAATTCATGTTTAATCAAAACTTCCTTCTGCTTGTAAATCCGTCCATAAATGGTTGTTTTCAGTCTGCCTGAGCTGAGTCCACTGTCACATTAATCAGAAAGGTCTGGTTTTTTTCTAGTTCAAATAAAAACCACACTTGTTGTTTCCAAGCAGTTTCCCGACAGCTGCTGAGGCGCCTGAAGGAGCCGCTGCCAAAGTATCACAAGTACCGGTAAATACGTCTCTGGACTGGCTGTTTGACACTCCGCCGTCTCCTCGTCAGAAGCCTCCGCCACAATTTCAGGTGAGAGCTTTACTCCAGGTGAGCTCGCTGGGTTTCATTCAGGTCGTACCGGATTCGATCAACATTTGTAACGTCAGTTTTTCTTTTAGGCCAGTGTCGGGAAGACAACCCATCAGAAGATCGCTCCATCGAAGCCAAAAACCCAGATCTTGAACTTGGAGTATGAAAACCTTGCTGATCAGGTAGTTTGATGACTCTGGTTTTTATCAGCAGAGGCTGATGATGTTTTTGTCCGTGTTTAGCGTTAGCTAAATACCTCATGAGGCCAATTCAAAATGGCCGACACAGCTAATCTACTTTAGCCAACTCAAAAATGATCGGTCAGTTTTATAGGAAAGATCAAGTTTGTAAATTTACCGTAATCTCCTTCCACGAGCTCTCTGACCATCTTCAGAAGTTTTGATGTCCGTATTTCCGAACGGCCTCGGCCAGCTGCTCCTCAGCAGAGCGAGTAAAACGAGAGCAGCTACTTCACCTGCGTTTCCACCTGAACACGCCCACAAAGTTCTGACTCGTCACACAACAGCTGACGCGTACCCCTGTGAGAAAAGGTTCTGCTCGGACCTTGTGGCGCAGAACGAGTTCCCGGAGCTCGTGCGAGAACAAGACGGCGTAATTTTGTTTGCTCAACTACGTCGGCGAGAGATTTTTTTTCAGTTGTCGCAGAAAAAAAATGCTGCTTTATGAATAAATTAATATCAAACAATAATTTGCAAACTCGTCCCCAGAGCAGATTAAAACAGAATATTACCAATATTAAGATAATAAACTAGAGACATTGCATTTCCTGTGAAAATGAAGTGTGAATGTTTATTGCAGAATAACTTGCTGAAAAACAGCTGAAATAAACTAAAAAACAAGCTGATGTGGAAGAACAAGCCTAAATTAGCAGAAATAAGCAGAAAGAACGCGTGTTTGCTGAAATAGGTTTAAATAAGCAGAAATTAGGAAAGTAGCTAAATAGCTGAAATTGGCACACAAATGGCTGAAAAGTAGCTGAAAGAAAGAAAGAAGCTTAAACTACCAGAAGGAAGTGAAAAGAGCTGAAATGAGCTTTAAAAATGTGGAATTTGCTGATATAGCTAAAATGAGCTTAAAAACAGCTAAAAAAGGTAGCTGAAATGGCTGAAACTAGCATAGTTACGCTGAAAGGAGCATAACAAGCTGAAAGTAGCACAAATAACTTAATTAAGCTGGAAGTAGAAACTGCCATGAAAAACTTGAATTGATCTGAAAACAGTTGAAATTGGATTTAAAAAAAAAAAGTTAAAAATGTAGCTAAAAAGCTAGAACAAGCTTAAATTAGCAGAAGAAAGCAGAAAGAATGTGTTTGTCCAATTAGGCTGAAAGCAGAAATGAACACAGAAAGTGGAAATTATCTAAAAAAAAAAAAAAGTTGAAATCAGTAAAAAATAAAAATCAGCTGAAAAGTTGCTTAATTTGCAGAAAGAACGTGTTTGCCCAGTTGGCCTGAAAAAAGCAGAAATGAGCACAAAAAGTGGAAATCTGAAAAAAGCTGAAATTAGTTTAAAAAAACAGCCGAAAAGTAACTAAATAGAGAGAAGCTTAAATTACCAGAAGGAAGTGGAGAGAGCACATTTTTTTTATGAACTGGGTATAAAAAAGTAGAAATTAGTGCAAAAAATGTGGAATTGGCTGAAAAAACTAAAATTAGCATAAAAACTGCTAAATAGCTAAAATAGCAGAAAAAGCTGAAACTTGCTGAAAGGAACATAACAAGCTGAAATTAGCAGAAAGAAGTTGGAAGAAGCACAAAAATGTTGCAGTTAGCAGAAAGAATCTGAAAGGAGCACAAAACAGCTGAAAGTAGCTGAAAAATGTGCACATACACGTGCACAAATATTGATTCCTCGTACAGAAAAGACAGTTTGCCCCAAGATAGTTTTACAAAAAAAAATGCGTCCTGAAGCCCCCAGGTCCTCCACAATTTCTGAACCTGTGGGTTGGAGGCGAACCAGTAGGTCACTGGGCACAAGGAGCCTGAACTTTAAGGCATTTCAAAATAAGAGTAGCGAATTTGACCGAACTTAAATCCCCGAGTCAAAACAAATCTTAGTTTCTTCCCCGACGCTCATGGATGCTGCTCGAGCCCAGTGATGGTCGTGGTCTGAGTTTCCGTCGAGGACGACGGTGTCTTTAGCTGTTTGTGTGTTAGTTCGCAGACGCTGTAACTGCAGCCAGTCCTGCAGAGGGCCGAGCTAAACGTGTAGATCTGGAGAACCTTCTCACCACTCTTCAGAGAGATCCGTTCTCCGCTAGAAAACAGCTGCCTCGGACCCCGGAGAGCCTGAGTAAGCAAAGTCGCTTTCTTTTAGCCTTTATGGTCTGAATTCTGTATTATGACTTAAAAACTATTTTTATTATTAAAGTAACGTCTCTTTTTTTCTTTTTCTTTTTTTTTTAAGTTTTGGAGGTGAAAAGCTCCTGGAGAAAAGCGGTTGAAGAAGACGAAGCCACAAAACTTTCCCCGCCGGATGAGCTGAACGTCGGCTTGACCGAGCCGCTAGACGTGAGCCCCGCCTGCGCCTCGTGGACCTTTGCCTGTACCGACAGCACCTCTATCCGCCAGCAGGGGGTCGTACAGAAGTCCTCTTTTTTGTGGGACACCTTCCAAACCGAGGTCCTGGACAGCCCGAGTGGCACCGGCAGCAGCGCCGTCCACTTCAGCCTCGACTTGGAAACCCTCCCCGAACTGCCGAGCTGCGACAGTCTGAGCCTTGAGGATGAAGCCGTGGACATGATTAGTGACGAAGAGGGAGGCACCCCTGTCCTGAACTTCAAGGTGTCACCAGTGACCACGCCCTGTCGGGGTCAGAACCAGCAAACGAGCGACGATGGTTCTCCAATGGAGAGGACAGCTGAGAGTCTTCTGCTGGATTACAGAGACAAAGACTGGCTGACGGAGCTCGCAGCGTCAGAAAAACCCCACAAGGTGTTTTCACTGGATCTGGATTTACTGGACACACCTTCACCAGAACCGAAACCAGAGTACAGCCTCCCAAAACTCATCCCCATCTCCCCTGTAGATGACATGAAATGTTAGCGCTAGCAACCAGTCCATTCTAAACTCATCACTTTTGTTTATGATTTGTAACTAATGAATGTAAATAACTATAATAAACAATGTTTGTCGCTAATAAATAAATTAGGTTTGGGTGTCGAATCAAACCTTTTAAAGGGGGGGGGGTCTGTGAGGAAGTTATGAAACGTCAATATCTGACCTGTTGTAGATACTGGTAGTTCTCTGAACGACTGCAGTTTGGAGAAATGGTTTTTCTTCTCAAAGTCTTACAAAAATATTTTGCCGTTAAACTCTTGGTCCACTCTCTGAGGCTCAGACAAGATACACGGTTCATGTCCTATCTGTCTGAGAAGGTAAGACCTGTGAAATATTCTTAATTTTACTGCGCTCCGCTAACGATCAAGAAACAACCACCTTACAATAAAACGTTGAAGTAGACGAGTTTTAATAAACAACTTAATGCACTTATTCTTGTTTAATGTCGTCTATTGGACCAGACAACCAAAGTCTTAAGGCACAAATAAACGAGTACCGGTAATCGTTTCACAAACTGACCTCAGTAGCATGTGGAAGAACCGTACGCAGCCTGCATATGCTATTTTCAGTGTATGTGTATACAAATCTGTATACACACGTGTTCTTTTCTTAGAGAACATTGTTTAGAACCAGTTAACATTAAAAGAACACAATCTTCTTGAGCTGTTTCAATCTGGTTTTAAAACTCACCACAGCACTGTTGAAAGTTTTTAATGACGTTCTTTTAGCCACAGACTGGTCACTGTGGTTTTAATGTTGTTGGACCTAACTGCTGCCTTTGACAGTGGATCCTGTCTCACCTGGAGAACTGGGTGGGCATTCAGGGTCCCTGCTCTACATTGGTTCAGATCCTATTCAACAGAAGCTTTTGCGTATTGGTACTGTGTAGTCCTCTAGCGCCTCTCACATGTGGAGTACCTCAGGGATCTATACTTGGCCCCCTTCCGTTTTCCTTTTATTTACCGTATTTCCCAAACTACACGTCGCTTTGGAGTATAAGTCACATTTATTGGGATCCTGAACAGGCTTAATTGACATAAGCCAACGAGTCCGACAAGCAGCTCACCAGTAAATTCACCAATCGTTCCACATCACTGAATCCATTGAATTCTTCATCCTCTGTGTTGCTTCTGAACAGCTCCGGAGGAAGATGAAGCGCAGTCTCCTCTTCTGCGGGGCTGTCGTGATCCGGTGACATGTTGTGTTTCGCTACCTGCTTTTCTAACGAACTCACGGAAACTGGCGACCTTGACTTGAAAGTCCGCCGGCAGTTTCTGACTTTTCAATGTCCTTGCTCTGATAGAGAGGCGGTTATACGTTGCATAAAGCGATAATACTCATTCCAAACTTTCATTCTGCTGCTCGATTAACTTTTTTTTTTTTTTGAATGAATGAATGAACTTTATTTAAAAAGAGACAATGCACAACTCAAACATAAATGTTACTATTTGATGTGCTGTGCCAGATTATAGCAAAAGCTAATTCACATCTGCAGTCCCTTGACAAGTAAAAAAACAAAACAATGGATATACAATGCAATAACAAAATAAAACAGGAAATATAACACTAAAAAGTTCTTACAAATCACAATACACAAACACCAACAGACTCAATCATTGGCACACATGTTTGCATACCTGAGCAAGTTTTTAACAGTTTTTACAAATTAAATTTGAAAACTCTCAAAGAGCTGCAGCTCCTCACATCATCCGGTAGTTTTGCATATTTTATTACCTGCAGTTTATCTGCGGAATAGAATTTTCTTTTGGGCTGCATTTTACTTGTGTTTTTCTCAGGTGTCTAAATGAATTTTGGGGGCGGCAAAAGTGGAAGAACATTGTCAAAAGCCTAGAGGGCCCTCTCACAGCTGCAAATGGTAATGTTTACTCTTTGGTACATGTCAGTATGAATGAACATTTAATGTGTCACTCAAAAAATTGTGTCATGAATAGACAGAAATATATATATATAAGTCGTTTTGGACTATACGTCACTGGACTGGCCAAACTATGAAAAAAAGTGCCACTTATAGTTCAGAAAATATGGTACTCTGGGATATATTCTCTGGAAATGTGTTTCTTTTCATTTTATGCTGATGACAGCCACATTTATTTGCCATTAAAACAAGACAAACAAAACATTTGACTGAGACAGCAACTAACCTGGGCGTGAGGCCGGACAATGATTTTAAACTACCGGTAGATGAACGTGTTAAATTTAAATCGGTGATCGCGTCCAGCTTTTATCACGTAAGACAAGTGGTCAAGGTCAAAGCATTTCTCGCATGACACCATTTTGAGATTTTAATCCATGCTTTCATTACAACTCGTCTGGACTACTGTGTTTCACATTATGTGGGTCTGAGCCAGTCGTACTGACTCAACCAGCTGGTCCAGAATGCTGCGGCTCGCCTTTTAACTGGTACCAGAAAACGACAGCATATCACCCCTGTCTTAAAATCACTACACTGGCTCCCAGTTCGTTTCTGGATTCATTTTAAGGTTCTTTTATTGGTTTTCAAATGTCTTCATGGTGTTGTGTGTTCGCGCTCTCTCAGGTCAACAGATCAGCTGCTGCTGGTCGTCCCAAAGTCCAACAGGAGGCTGAGAGGTGACCGAGCGTTCTCAGTCGCTGCCCCTAAACTGTGGAATGAGCTGCCTGTGACATCACTTCCTGTTTTCTAATCTCTGAAGACATGTTTTTTTTCTCTCTTTGGCTTTTAACTCAGCTTGAAATGTTGGTTTTACTGTTTTTAAGTTATTTGTTTGATTGTTTTTACTGTTGTTTTGTCATTTTGGCAGTTCATTACTTTTACGGTATCTGTTGATTTTATGTTTTTTATGCTTGTTTGTGTTAGTGTACAGCACCACCAACGGTGTTGTTTTTAAAGTGCATTATTAAAAAAGTTGTGTATATAAATCATACATCTAAATGTTAAATGTATGTGTATGTATATATATATATATATATATAATTTATTTATTTTATTTTATATATTTTCTGATTAGGGGCAAAAAGTGAGCGTGCTGGGTGAGTGGGGTCCTTCATGCTGCAGGTGGCCCTC